GGTTTCCCGCTGGTTGATATCTCACTTGGCAAACCCATTCTTTGCATGTTAAGCAAATACGAGTCACATGATTCAGAGTCTGTGTATTTATCAGGTGACTGAAAGAGTAAAGAGTCCTGAACAATAATGAATCCGGTAACTGAGTTGTGACAACTTAAGTGATTCTGTTGGTTTTGAATTATTTGCATTTGATTCTGAATTTGATCACATTCTGCAAATCTGAGCATCTTAAGAGATAATTGTATATAAGTGAGAAGGTTCTTCCACAGAATTTGCATTTCACCAGAAGAATGATGTCATTCTGTTTGGACGAAACATTGCTTTCATGGACGCATGCACATATCTTTGCTTTGTTGTTTCTTGATTGATTTACTATGGATTATTATTTTAAACAGCATGTACAGTCATCGTAGCATAAAGTCATCTGAAGTGAACTTCTGTGGATCTCGCAATGTAGACGCTGGATCAATTGAAAATGTGTCTGACTCTGCACCATGTTATATGTGGAGCCTGGGAACTGAAAATAGAGCAGAGTTTGCTTTGATAGGCAAAATTCTTGCAAATCAGCTAATACTTGGCATATGAATAAAACTTAATTATATCACTAAAGCCGTCATGTTTTAAATTCATTCAGCCCTTGACATAATACAATAACATTGAGGGCTGCAACAACTAAACGATTAAATTGTTTATACAATAATGAAAACGACTGCTTCATTATTGATTACAGTTTATTCATTAACGATTTTATTATTGATTAGTTGAGTCTTCACACAGAGAACCTCCATCAGTGATGGCACTTTGAAGTGTTGAAAAATCAATTTCTATTAAAAAAAAATCCATGTACTTACATTTTTGCAGTAAATGCAATAATTTCAGTTTTGCAAAACACATTTGTGAGGATTAACTGTTGCTTTCATCATTAAACTTCAAATACTTAATGCACAGGGGAAAAGCCCTTCTAGGGACAAGTGTTGCAAATTAGTTTAGCTACACGCATGGAATGGCTGTTGTCACAGTTTTATCTTTATTGTATCTGTCAATATACAAATAAAACATTAAATAAATAAATAACAGAGAATGAAAGCGCAGTCATTTTGTTCAAAATAACAATTTTTTGTTGTTAAACCTCAAATATAAGTTTTAAATGAACCATAAAGGGATCTTAATCTTATATGCAACACAGATACTTATATTTTTATATGAATGATAACCTCAAAAGGAGTAAGTGTTGGAAATACATTTGTTTTCATTATGTTTATGGGTGGATCTCACAAAACCATTCGAAAAAATATCTGGCTCGTAATTCTCACCAAAAACTAAAGAAAGAAATATAGAACTATTTTTGCACAAAGAAAATGAAGCAAATTTTAAGTCCATTCATTGTTTTTGCATTGTGACATTATGTTTATGACAGTTAAGAAAATATTAGTTGTCATTACCATAATGCAAAACATGGGGGGAAAATGGAAGATTCATTAATCAATGAAAAAATCTTAAGATTAATCAGTTTACATGCTGTATTTATAAGTACAAACAGAACTGCTGACCACAGCAAAACAAATTACAGTCCTAACAAAGACATTCTCATGAAAGGTTGCAGCTCTGCTCATGTTGAACCTTCAGACACACAGAGTTCAGGCCCGTCTGTCACACTTGAGAGCTCAAAGCTGTCCTGTTTTGTTTGAGCGCTGGCTCTTTGGTGCTGGAAGACGGCCCCCTCATTAAACAGACATGGTCTGTGCAGAAAGATGGAGAGGGCTGTGTTCTTGGCTGGGGCCCCGGGCCTGAACTGCTTTATAGATCCTTTGGCAGGGAAAAAGAAATGGAGGCTGGCGTGTTAATGTTCTTTGTGATTTCTACAAAGGGATTGCTTTTGTAGTACTGAAAAGTTGATATTGCTTCACTAAAGATCAAAGTTATTATCTAGTTTCAGATCTTTTTTATGATTTTATGCAGTACACAAACGTGTATCATCTAATATTGAAGAAATCGTTCACACAAAACAAAATAAGGTATATTTTTGGCTGAATTTTTTTAAAAACATTTATCACTATCGGTCAGTATAGTGTGTATTTATTTGTGCGTGTGCATTTTTCATCTATTTTTACGTTTAGAAGAATTTTGCCATTATCACATGCTCACTTACGGTTAATTTAATAACACTGCTTAATGTAATATTTAGTTAATTTCAAAATGAATATCCATTTTCACACTGTACATTATAATATTATGCCAATATTCGTTTAAGTTTTGGAGTGTTAGATTTAAAATGTGTTTAGTCTAAGTAGTACAGGATTTAAATATCAGCCATTTATTAATTATTGACTCATCATATTGTACATTAACTAAACACAAATTAATAGATAATTGGATGTACACGACCAAGCAATAAAAATAGCATATTTTATTGTGAACAGACTCCATTTATCTTTGGGTTTGAAAAAACGGCTAAAGCGCTGTAGGTGATCGAAACTTTACCAACCCCCAGCATGTCATACTGGGCTTGGTAATGCAAAAGCAGTCATTAGTAAGTAACCAGAATCCTTTGCAAGGATTAGCTCTTTTTTAGGGCCGACCAGAAAGAACTAGTTGTTGGAAGCCAGGAAACACTGTTTCATTAAACTTTTCATTACATGTTTAAACATGGGGGTGTTTTTATTTGAATTAAAGAATATGTAGTCACATGGAAAACGTAGATAAACATGTAAAGTGTTTTAGTTGACATAATTTAACACTAGCTGAATTCAATGAGACATTTAACAGTGGTCACACATTACCCTAACATTGAATGATGAATTATCTGCCAAAATGATTTTTATTAAGAAAAGCGCTCTGCTGTGAAGCATTTATGGTCTTATTAAATGTGTTGTCACAAAAATGGTTTTAACTTGGCCACTCGCTGAATGTGCACTATTGTGCTGTTGAGTTCTGTGTATGTGGCGACATGCCTAGACTTCCTGTTAGACTGTTGGGTCATTATTCCATCATGGCATTTAGACCACAGTTATTGATTCCAGCAAATGGAGCCTCTTTATGTTTTGGCAATAAATATAAATGAGGAAAGCCATGCCTCCAGTGATATCCCCATCAGGATCTTCCCATTCCGTGTGTACTGTACACCTATAAAATCCAAATGAGCCGCCGGCAGAGGAAAAGAAAACTTGAGAAGAAAGCATTCATCATGAGGTAGACTGTGTAGACGCTTTGCCTGACGGATCATGTAATCAAGCACAGTCTCCTGGGAGGCTCCCCATCCACCACCATCTCTCTAGGCCAGATGTCTTTTATTTCAAAGCGTGTTCACAAGGTCCAAAGAAACATCTGACCTTTTCTCCCAAACATGAAGTAAAAGAGTCACCACGTGGTACCATATCTACCTTTTTCACATTAGAAGCAAGTTGTTATTGGTCATACTGTAAGTCACATGTGATTTATTTTGAACATGTTTTTGTTCTGTTGATGAAGAATAATGATAAAGCTTGACAGAAAATGCCACTCAGCTGGTTTATGTGGCTTGTGTGACGAACTACATCCCCCACTATTCTCTGTGACAACATAAGAAGGATAAGATAAAGCATCAGTTACAGTGGTTCTTGCAGAAACTCAAACGTGCTGCATAACACACGAGAATGAACCTCATTGGTTCTTGTAGAAGCTCAAACGTGCTGCATAACACGAGAATTAACCTCATTGGTTCTTGTAGAAGCTCAAACGTGCTGCATAACACGAGAATTAACCTCATTGGTTCTTGCAGAAGCTCAAATGTGCTGCGTAACACGAGAATTAACCTCATTGGTTCTTGTAGAAGCTCAAACGTGCTGCATAACACGAGAATTAACCTCATTGGTTCTTGCAGAAGCTCAAATGTGCTGTGTAACACGAGAATGAACCTCATTGGTTCTTGTAGAAGCTCAAACGTGCAGCGTAACATGAGAATAAACCTCATTGGTTCTCGCATGTCAAGCAAGCATGATTGAGCTTCCATCTGATGAATGTTTATTTGTGAATAAAAGCCTAAATTCAATCTGTTCATCATATAAAGTGATTCGTGTCTCTTCAGGAAATTTGGACTGAACCGTTCAATTCATATGGATTAGTTTTACGATCTCTTTATGAACTTTTTGAAGCATCAAAGTGGTAGTCATAAACTGTCAGTATAGACGGACAGAAATTCTTCAGATTTCATTCAAATATTTGTATTTGTTTAGAAAATGAACGAAAGTCTTGCGTGTTTAGAATGACATGATGGTAAATAAATTAGGTCCGAATTTAAAAAAAAAGCCAGGTCTGCAGATACCCTGAATAAAGCAGTTTACATGCAAAGCGTAATTGGGGTGAAAGGCAAAGATGTAGGTGTGTCAATCTGGATTTTGCATAAACAGTTTATGATCTTCTTTACACACACTCACACAAAAACAGTTTAAGACATTTCATGATGTTTTGAGCATATTAAGTGTAATCAGTGAAACTGCATATGAACCCACTCTGATTGCACTGGTTTGTGAAGCAATTTATGGTATACTTGCTAGAGACAGCAGCCTTACATAAAGTCCATTGCTCAAGAGCACAATGATGGTAGTTTTTTACTAGCCCAGACCCTTTCAAAAGCATAGTTTTGCTTTGCTCATTGCATTTTAATGTCTATTCTACAGCAAAGTGTAAAACATTTAGGTATTAATGATGTTTCTACAAGTGTATGTGGCTTCTTAGCATAATAATGCAAAGGCAAGCAAAGTTGCCATTGGCTGCTCATTAAATAAAACAGCTCAGTGGAGGTTTGCCGTTTATGGTCACTGGTCATTCCACATTGACTATAATTATTGTGTGCTGTTTGCCCTTTGTTGCCATGGCGTGCTCACAAGTGAGCAATTGCTTCAGGCTACATGTGATTAATGACATGAAGCTGCTGTTTTAGATGAAGCAACTTCTTGCCGTTTCATCTCCGTGCATCATTTACCTCTGTTGACGTGACACTGTTGTTTTTGTTTCTCTTCCAGTTGAGAGGGAGGTGGTGCAGAAAAGGACATTCACAAGATGGATGAATCTACATCTAGAGAAGGTCAGTAGGAATTTATTTGGATCCTATGACCCCAGTAGATGGAGTTTATAGACTTCAGATGTTCAGATTATCCTCCTTGTGCATAGATTGAGGCGTCTTTGTGGTGGTAACGTAGCCTACTACAAACAGGAAATGTATACCTCCTTCTCTCTGCTGAATTATTAATGAAGGAAATTGAAATTGTAATTTCTTAGCATTAATTATGCATGAGGTTGAAACATTAACCTGAGTTGTAGGAAGAATATCAGGGCTGAGGAAATGGTTTATGCTCAAATTTCAACTGCATTATGCTCAAATTTGATCGAATTCATCATTTTATATATATATATATATATATACACACACACATATACATACATACAATTGAGTGTATATATATATATATATATATGTATAATTATTACTATTATTAGTTTAATTTTTTTTCATGTTTAGATTTTTTACTACGCTAATTTGCGCTGCTCTTTGTACAATCCGTTGGTCATCATGGAAATGATCTGACTGCGTCTGTGTTCTTTAATTTTTGCGTCGTCAGTCGATCACCTGCAGAACTTTCCTTTCCGATCTGCGCTTTTTTGGAATTGCGCTCCCACGCTAATTTGCCCTGTTTAGTAAATCTGGCCCTTACTCGTCTGATGCTCCCTTCACCCACTTTCACTAACATATTTTCCCTACCCGAAATGGCGAGACAGACACAAAACACACACACATACATTTGCATAAGGCATTAGTCATTGAACACAACTCGTTTAGGCCTGCTCTTTTGTTTTCTCTGGCAGTCCTCCGGGGCTCTTCTTGTGTTGTAGACGGTTTATAGATTGTAATGCTGCCATTCTTCAGAGCTTTATAATACTGACTGAAAACACTCAGCGATGAATCCTTTGTTTTCATGCACAATGTCGCTCTATTCTGTGCCCCTAAGTTTTGGCTTCTTCTCAAAACTTCGACCCACCATCGGACAATTACACTTTGTCTGTTCTGTTTTGGTGAAAAATTTCACCTTTAACCCTCCAGTTTCCACTGTTGTCCCATCATATCCTTTTTATTCTTCTGAGAAATGTTATTATTGAAGAAGAGTGGGATTTTCCTCCTTTTCTTTTTTTAAGATTCAGTGAAATTAACCAAGAGTAAACATAAAGGGATAGTTCACACAAAAATGAAAATTCTGAAAAATCAATGTCCCTCCAATGACAGTCTACGCAACTACCGCTTTGACCCTTCATAAAGTTGTTACATATATAATAGAACTATAAAAACAATGTGTATTATCATAGACATGCAAACATTGGTATCTTTAGAAATCTTAGTTCAGTTTGAGATTACAGGGGCCTTTTTCTCAGCAGACAAATCTGAGATGCAAAAGACTTCAGCAATTGTAAACATTTGAATTTATTATTTGACATATTTTTTTTTTCATAGTATTGAATTTTTAAAAAAAAATATTTTTTCTGAACTTCTTCTCTTATATGAGATCTGTATTTTATTCAAAGGATCAAAAGACTTTATAGTCATTGTACTGCTGTGCAAAACAACAAGATGATGTTGGTATCCCGTGTTCTCAAACATTCACATAAGACTAAAGTATAAAAAAAGACGACACAAAATTTAGACAAAAACACAACAAATAAAAAAAAATTAAATGTAGATCAAATTTTTAAAAAGGATACATAAGATAAAACAATATGACAGAAATATTATCTTTTGTATGAGTATAGATACTGAACTGCATGTTTTTTTTGCTGTGCAGTGTAACCCTCGTTTGGAGGTGCGGGATCTGTTTCGTGATATCCAGGACGGGAAGCTTCTGATGGCTCTACTTGAAGAACTCTCAGGATGCAAACTGGTGAGAATCATTTCAGTAGATTTTCTGAATCATTTTACTTCATCTGTTCCCACAAACTGCTAAGAAAACGCTGACCTTTGATCTTTCAGCTGCATGGGTTTAAGCCATCCTCGCATCGTATTTTTAGGCTCAATAACATCGCCAAGGTATTGACATTTCTGGAAGAAAGAAACGTAAGTACCGTTTGAGGTTACGCACCCTCACAAATAGCAAATAAAACACCCTGAATGCTTTTCCTGAAACTGATAAATCTGTCTGTTTTAGGTGAAATTAGTCAGCATCGACGCAACGGATATCGCAGATGGCAACCCATCCATTGTGCTTGGGCTTATCTGGAATATCATACTGTTTTTCCAGGTAGCATAATCTTGTTTTCTTCCTTTGTGTTTCTTTATTTCTACATATTTATGCTTTTACATTTGGATTAGTCCACATTTGATTGAAGTTAGTTGGGGAAAATAGTTAATCAGTGGATTATTTGTGACTCAAGAGTCTTTTCTATGTGGCTTAAAGTGTCTGTGGGAAACGATGAGGTCTGATTGGACCAACGATTGCTTATGATATCCTTCTGATTCTGGTTGGATTAGGGTCCAAAATGTGCACTAATCTTATCTTGTCTTTGAGAAAAGACAACTCTCTTATCACTCATGTCTGAACAGTGTTTAGATAGGACCGAAGAGTTTCCTGAGCAGCATGATAGGAAAGGCCACCGCGCTGAGCCAATGGCTGTCATCTACTCGTTCAGTAATGAGCTGTTTGTATTACAGATCAAGGAACTCACAGGGAACATTAAGAGCCAGTTCCCTTCCTCCTCCAGCCTGTCCTCCATACCCACAAGCTCTGATTCGGACACTTCGCATTCCAGCACACCCTCAGATGAGAGAAAGCCCACCATTGCACCAAGAGGTCATGGGAAGGCAATCAAGACCCTCTTGCACTGGGTCCAGAGACGCACTAGAAAGTAAGAGAGATTTTAGTGACCACTGGGAATTTTTTTACTTAGTTATGCCAGATTTCAAAGCATTGCTTGCTACTTTGTTCTTCTAGATATGGAGTTGCAGTACAGAACTTTGGAAAGAGCTGGACAAGTGGTCTGGCTTTCCTTGCTGTGATAAAGTCCATTGACCCCAGTCTGGTGGATATGAGGAGGGCTTTGCTCCGAACGGCCAGAGAGAACATTGAGGAAGCATTTAGAACAGCACACTACAGTCTTGGCATCCCAAGACTCCTAGAACCTGAGGGTAAATATTAAGGTTGATTAAGTCAGTTGATATATAGTGGCCCCAAAAATGTACACTACTGTTCAAAAGTTTTTGAAAAACTGCATTAGTTCAAAAGTTTTTGAAAAACTGCATTTATTTCATCAAAATACAGTAAAAACAGTAATATTGTGAACTTTGCATCAGTCACTTTTTTTGGATCAATTAATACATCCTTGCTGAATAAGAGTATTAATTTCCTATAAAATATTATATATAATATTAAAAATTGTACATATTTAACGCGTATACATTTTTATATATTTTATATTTATACATATTTAAATTATATATTATTATGTATTTTTATATTTACATATATTTGATTGAATTTCTGCTAAATTGATAAATGTAAATGTAAAATATATGGCACTTGGTTTGACATAACGCAAAGACATTCATTTCAGAGGTCTTGAGGGCATTTGTCAAATCTTTGATTTGTTTTAATATACAGTAGCTATTGAAATACATTAGCAGAGTTGAACTAAAAAAGTCTTTCCTCAGATGTGATGTTGAATCCCCCTGATGAACAGTCCATAATGACTTATGTGTCCCAGTTTTTGGAGCACTTTCCTGGAATTGAGGAGGTACGAACGTTTCAATGAATTACAGCATCAATATACAATAAGTCTCATACATCTCAACTAAATGTGCTTTGTTTTCTCCAGGATGAAACGTCAGATATTCTGGAAAGAAGTAAAGCCAGTGCTCGTATGAACGAACCTCCTGTTCGGAATGGGGTTCAGAGAAAACGGGAGTCTTATATGGTCAAGAGAGACTTGGTTCAGCCACCACCCAAGATCTTCATCTCCTCGGTGTCTGAAGATCGTGAGCAGATCACCTCTCCAGTCCTATCACATACCCCTGAGGACAGACCATGGACCAGTGAAAGGTCATCAGTGGGTTCAAGTCCCAGTCCTGCAAACGACAAGCCCCTTTATCACCCATTGGACTTGAATAAAGACGTGTCCACCACAAGCACTCCGCAACCTTCGTTCTCGGATTCTGCTGTCAACTCGCCAGACTCGTGGAGTGAAGTACTTAGCGAGACTACTAACTCTCACCAGATCAATGAGGATCCTGTAAGCGAGAGCAGTACGGCTGGTACTGTTGAAGTGACCTCAGATTTAGGGTCACCATTTTCACCAGAGAGCATGCCGAAGAATCATTTGGAATGTGAGCTTTTCATAGATGAGGGAAACTATTCCCTCGGCTCCATGGATAGTTTACATGCCAAATCCACTGCGCCATCTGAGGAGGACAATGCTTACAAATATATCTTAGATCTGAAAGAAGAACAATCTGCTTATCATTCGCCCAGCGACAACATGAGGAATAAATCAGATACAGGATGTTTAGAACAAACCGAAACCAATCCTTTGGAGCACCAGGAACCAGTCAAGCCATCTTTTAATGATCCTTCATGTTTGGAAAGTGACTCAGGATACTTTCAGGATAACAAGGAAGCCATGCCTGCTCAACCTGAGGATGAGAGACCACTTACTTCCACTGTTGATGAAGAAATGAGTGGAAATCTGGAATCTGAATCTTTTCAGGACAATGTAGAGTCTTCCAATACAGAAGCTTTGCAGAGGAATGCTTTTGAATTGACAGATGGACCTGAGGAGAAGCCTTTCATGATTGAGTATGACAGTGAGCCGGAATGTCCAGTTTTGCAGTTTGAGAGGGTTTCTATATCAGGAAGTGAGGAGGATATTAAACTGTGCACTGATCTGGCTGAAGAACCAACAGAGGAACCAGGCAAAAGTGATCTTGAAAATGGTCATTCTGAAACCATGAATGAATGTAGTGACCTCCATGATGGGGAACAAGTAAGTGTTTCAGAAATTGAGGTAAAGGGTGTGATATTTGACAACCTGGAAGAACCTGTCTCAGATCAGAGCCAAACAGAAGTTGAGGTTCCTAATGAAGATCAGGTGTGTTATATGTGTGGATGTTCAGTTGCGAAGAGCTCGACTGAATCAAGCGAACAGGATGACAATTGTCTGTCCCATTTAAACTCAACTGAGAGGGACTGTAATTCAGACTCGAGACATTTCAGTAAATCAGAAGCAGGTGGAAACTTTGAGGACAATCCAAGGGAACAGAACAATGAATTAAACGGATCTGTAAGTGATCTCAAGAATGAGCCAAGAGAGAGTAAAGGTATTCATGAAGATCTGCTTATTATAGGTAAGAGCAACATGGAAAGTGGGTCAGACGGCATAAGGAGGACTGAGTTTTCCCACAATACAAATGGTGAAAGCCAAGCTCAGGTTTCAGACAATACGGAGCCTGGAGGGGCCAAGGATAACAGGCCTGTATCAGTAGTAGACTCTCACTATGGCGTTCTGAAATCTGTCACTGAAGCCATTGTGGTGCCTCTTTCTGACTCCACCAACCACGATGGAGAAGACAACTCTACATCAACCCAGCGACAGCGTCTAGAGGTTTCCAGCTTTGAGTCACCAATTGAAGCGGAAACCACCTGTGAGGACTCAGAGCCCATTATTGGTGTCCGTGGGTACCTTGAAAGACATCCCGCGGAGCTACGTCTGTCTCTTAGCATGACTCCGCTTCAGCCGGCACCTCCTAAACGTTCACTTACCGAATCGGATACGGACACCGAAGACACTTCAGAGGAACACGGCAAGGGATTTAAGTCAAGAAAGGTTTTTTTCATTCTCACTTTTCTTTAGCCTAGAAAACAGGCTCAGTTTAATGCACAGACTGACCTACAAACAGAAGGTATCAGCATACAAGCTGTTTTAGGGTCATGACCTCCTTTTCCAAATGTAGTTCACTTGAGCGCATTACTCAAAATGATTTTTTAATGATCTATTACAGTTGCTATTGAGTCCTGTGAGTATAGCCCAAGTATTCAGAGCCAGAAGAAATAATACTGTATTCATTTACTTCTCTAGCACACTTTCCATTCACCATTAAAGATTGATGGTTGAGACGAACTATGAAAGACAAGTTCAGTTCCCTCATATAACCAGTATGTAGATCAGCTCTCTGTAGAGTTGGGTTCAGTAGTAGTGTCATCCACTCTCCGTAAAACCATTAGATAAGGGATAAAAAAGTGTTTTGGCTTTCTTGGAGCCGCACATGCTGAGGCAGTGTGAGTTTGAGTCAGGTTCATGCAATTTCCCTATTCGCTCTCCTTTTTTTCAGTTGACCTTTTAAAAGGAGTGGTAAAAAGGCCAAACGGGAAAACAGTTGTGGTTGAGATTCTGTCATATTCACACAGACTAAATTCGTTTTTGGAAGAAACGCTCACCAAGGCTGCATTTTTGTGGTCAAAAATACAGTAAAAAGTAATACAGTAAAATATTATTACGATTTAAAATTACTGTTTTTATTTCAATACATTTTAAAATGTAATTTATTCCTCTGATGGCAAAGCTGAATTTTCAGCATCATTACTCCAGTCTTCAGTGTCACATGATCCTTCAGAAATCATTCTAATATGCTGATTTGCTGCTCAAGAAACATTTCGTATTATTATCAATGTTGAAAACAGTTGTGCTGCCTAACATTTTTGTTGAAACCGTGATAGTCTTTACTGTCACTTTTGATCATTTTAATGTATCCTTGTAAAGTATTATTTTTATGGCTTTCAGTATACTTGTGCAAGAATGGTCATCACAGTGATAATATTACCAGAGTGGATATTAAATAGCTTGAGTCTGTATTCTGGATATTGAACTTTAATCTTGCATTATAAATTCACTCTATTCTGCATGTGTCCATTTAGGACAAAGTGGGATCTTTGCATCTCCAGGAGCAAAGCCTGTTTGACAGGCACCCAGGAGAATGGGGTGCGGTGGAGCCTGATTCACCAGCTGAGCATTGTGAGCTCATTAAGACAGATGAGGACCTGACCAGCGCTGGTGCCAGAGAAAACACTGGGGCTCTGAGGTACGGCTCTATTAATAGAGACTGCTACAGAGACACAGTCTGGGCCACAGGGGTGCGTTCTGTTTTCTGAAGGATGTGACCTCATAAACCTCTTAGAACCATTGCAAATTGCCTTACATGTACTTGTTTAGTTTTGAAAACTTTGGTTGAGTTTTGGTGAATAGGTCATATCCATTTTAGATGAATGATTCAAACATTTTTATCTCATAGCATGTTGTGTTACTGTATAAAAATGTGCGTTTTCCATTACAGCTGATTGAAGTCATGAAACTCGCTCTCTGTTTTTTGGCCGGGATTCAGTCTGTCATGAATAAATGAGCTTAATTGTAACTTAGGTCCATATAAGAGTTCAGTGAGGCATATGAAATGTGTGTTTTATCAACCATAACAAATTTATCATGCTCTTAAAAGGGCCGAAGTGGTGACGGATGCAAGCCAACCTTTGACTACTATACACTTGAGAAGGGTCGTTGACACCAGCGAATCAAAGGTTTGCTAATGTTCTTGATTGTGCCTCGCAATCAACCCTGTTAAAATATAAGTATATCTTATGATAAACACTACCATTCAAAAGTTTGGGGTCAGGAAGATGTTTTTTTTTTTTAAAGAAATTGATACTTTTATTCAGAATTGATGCATTAAATCGATCAAAAATGACAGTAAAGACATTTATAATGTTACAAAAGATTTCTATTTCAAATAAATGTTGTTATTTTGAAGTTTCTATTCATCAACATGATAATAATAAGAAATGTTTTTGTGCACCAAATCAGCATATTAGAATGATTTCTGAAGGATAATGTGACACTGAAGACTGGAGTAATGATGCTGAAAATTCAGCTTTGACATCACAGAAATAAATGACATTTTAAAATACATTAAAATAGAAAACACCAACATTGAAATTGCAATAATATTTCACAATATTACTGTTCTTTCTGAAATATTTATCAAATAAATGCAGCCTTGGTTAGCATTTGAGACGTCTTTTTAATAACTTTTAAAAAATCTTACCGACCCCAAATTTTGGAACAATAGTGTGTGTAATTATCTCATCTTAGGTGTCCACATTATTAACATTTCTAAAGGCTGACAGCCTTTTCTCTGCTACGAAATATATTGACTTTTTTAATTTCACCAATCTGTTGGTTTCTTTTTAATAGGGACAAAATGGGAAAGCCTTAGACTGCAGCAAAATGGACAGTACCATCATAAATAAAAGGTAACATAGGCGCCGATTTGTGTTTCTGCCGGTGGGTGCCCAGTGCCCATACTCCATACAAAACGCACTGTTTTGAGACACACACGTACATTCCTGACACTTTATTTTTTTGCACAGAAATGCACTCTTATCTTTGCATCATAAGATTTATTTACTTTTACTTGACTTAAAGGGGTCATGACATGGAGTTTTTATTATTTTAATATGTTCCTTGAGGTTTACTTGTAATGTAAATAGTTTTTTGCACAAAAAAAAAAACATATACAGTATGTGGAAATCTCATTTACAGACAAAGCATTATAAAATCCCTTACTTAAGATTTGCGATGTAGAAGCTGTCAGATCCAATACAGCTGACTGCTTCATCTGTCAACAAAAGTTTCTTTTGTGAACTAAACTGTGCCTCGTTTACAAAACAATCTGCGGTCAAATTCTCTGAACAAACATATAAACCTCTGACGCGATCTAGGGCGCCATTAAAAATAAACCATTCACTTGTTCCTGACGCTGGTATCAAGTCTGTACAGAGACGCAAATGAGCTGTTTAAACAGGACGCATCTAAACGAATGTTCCTTTACGCTTCTAAAGTGAACAGGGATCTGTATACTGTCCAGTGTAGACAGCGTCAGTGTTTATAATGGGTTCTATTTGCTTTTGACGCGACGCTCGCATGCGGAGTAGACAATTGTTAGCCGTTAAGTGACTGAACGGCAGTGGGCGTGGCCTATGTTGTGATGATGTAAAACTATTCGTCGATGTCTTGCTCTGGAGGCAGGCGTATGCAAATGCATTTGCCCATGTGACGTCACAAGTCCCCCTACATCCATATGAGCTTGATTGAATAAATGCTTTGTTTATAATGAGGAGGACGTTTTATGCTCTGAAACTTGCAGGATGATTTAATGGTACAAAGACCTCTTAAATGTCAAAAGACATTTGATTTCTCATGTCATGACCCCTTTAAAGTCCCACTCCGATCATATTTTGAGCTATTTTTAAACATTCCCAGTGGTCTTTAAATTATGATTATGCCATTTTTAGCCAAAATCACAAAACCTGTGCCGTTTTCTGGGACTTCGCTTCAGCAGAGCGGCAGTAGCTCATTAGCAATTCGCCTCTGCGTTGTGGGCGGAGCCGTTGGCACGGAGACGACCCTCCCCCTGTCCGTTGCTGAGAGCTCTGTCTCTCCCGCTAGCTTACACCCCCAATACCGGTGGGGCAACAGTATTATATACACATTAATTATTATTATCCGAAGTTAATCAAAGTTATCACCGATCACCGATCATTATTTCACTCCAAGACGTCGCGTGTGGAGACGCCCAGTGGAGTTACTACGTCACAACTCCAGTCTATTTTAGCCGGCATTTTAGCGTCTGCTACTGATTCACAGCCATTTGAATGTAGAAATACTCAGAAATACAACTTTGAGCTTATTTTTCTCAAGATATGTCCTCTAACATCAGAAAAATGCCACAGGAACATGTTAACACCTAGAAAAACATTATTTTCATCGGAGTGGGTCTTTAAGTTTCATTTTCAACACACCATGAAGTCACTTGACAATCATTTGTCTCCATTGTTGACATGTTTCTTATTTAAACCACAGTGCAAGATGATTCATATACATTTTTGATTCGTTTTCTTGGAAGAGAAAGACTGTACATTTGAAATGTGTATATCTGCAAAAGGTTAATTTAGTCAACTTTCAGGAGTACTCCAACATATAGATTAGCATCAAAGCTAACAGAAACAGACTAAACAAAACTGATTTCATAGGGTATTTAAGTTTATTTAAAGTGCCCCTATTATGTTATTTTAAAGGTCTAACTACACGTTTACAGGCACCCAAGGTCAAAAAACACTTTATTTTCTCATTATATACATTGCAGCATATCCTCTTTTATTAAAGTGTCTGAAACATTTTGATAAAGGATTCGGTCTCTCTAAACTCCTCCTTTCCGAGAGCCTAGTCTGCTCTAATTGGTCAGAAGATCCAGTCTGTTGTGATTGGTCTACCACTTAGAGAGTATGTCATATTTGACAAAACGTGCCAAACTCTTCCAGGCCAGGTTCGTGCTGGAATTACTGGAATTACTGACAACTCGTTTCAGTCAGTTCAGAATCGGTTCTTTTAGGAGACAATGACTCGATTTATCGTGCACTTTGATTTTAGAAACTTTGAAGATCTTTTACATTCACAAGCAGCTATATTATCTCCGAAAAAAATAATAATAGGGGCACTTTAAAGCAACGGGCTGAAATTCTAATACTATGTGTGTGCACTTTTGTTTCATTACAGCTTGGAGAGCAAGACTGCTCATGAAAGCACATATGACACAACCTTGTCCGACCTTGTCTACATCCTCTTGGCTGCTTGGCTCTTCGTGTACTGCCTTCTTGTCCTGCCTCAGATTGACTTAAGGATGCTTCCTAAACTCCTCTTCAACATAGATGAATGACTGCAATATTATTATACAACAGAATTGATGCTCACACATACAACTCAGATCATGTTCTTATAGATCAGCTTCCTGACATAAAGGAATTGTTCACCCAAAAAATTAAAGTACAGACATTCTGATAAAGCATTCCTTATTGTGCTGTATGGAACATGAGGGTGAGTAAATTATGACAGACGTTTTTTTGTTTTTTTTTAAATGAACTATCCCTTTGATATGAATCAGGACCCGTGACCCAAATGTTTAATGAGTAAATAAAACAGATTGAAAAATTGGCCATATCGATCAGCTTTGTTGCCTTTCATATTTCCATTCACATCTGCACACAAAGAAAAAAAAAAAATATATATATATATTTTTTTTTTGGTTGAAGGTTTTTTGTAATCAGTTTGTAATATCACACACACACACACTATTACAGGTCCACATGCAACACAATTACACAATAGATTATTTATAATGCTTCAGAAGAACGTGCTTTTGGGCCTTTTATGTTGTTTGTACGTACACTATATGAAGAAAAAGCATCTTTAAGACTGCAACTGTTTGTATAAAACAAGCGAAGGTTTTTGGTATGCTTTAAAGCTGTTATGCTACAAGTTTTTGAATGTATCTTTTGAAAAAAGTGATCGCATTACATAGACCCCTTTATTTTTTTGCATTATTTTTTAGTAAAAATGAAGGCTTTCAGCACAACTAAATGATTATGTTCCATCAACGTTTATATTTATACTTCACATACGGCTCTCTAAGTTTAGAGACACTTGTAAGGTGTCAACAGCACTTTGTAAAACTCAAGACAAGAACTGCCAAAGATTCAGTAAAAGAAACCTATTCTCAACACAGTGAACAAATTATGAATTTGCCTAATCTTTTAATAATAAATCCTGCACTTAAAGTATATATTTTATGCATTTTACAAAATGCAATAGCACACAAAAATTACATTTATCAGTGACAAAAATAATGACACATTTATTAGTCATTTTACACAAATACATTATATTGACTGAATTTGTAATATTGACACTGAAGTTGTTAGTGGTGGTTTTCCAGGACTGATATAATTCCCTAAACGGAAGGTTTTAATTTGAGCCTGTTCGGCTTGTAATATGTTGTAAAAATGTGGCTTTTTTTTCTTATATTTCCTACATTTTAAGCTGAAATGTACACTTCCACAATATAGAACAAGCCTACTGGCTGCAGAGTGCTGAGTGCTAGTCGCATGATCATAGCAAATTAAAGTGAACTCTGGACAAAGCCAGAATGTTAATGCATCCTGATTCATTTATACACCTATACAAAATATGTCCAAAATTGTTAACAAGCCAAACTTTCTGCATGAGAATGTGTATGGGAAATTACTTTTGTCTTTAACATTTTTAAAAGTCACCAAGTGAATCTATGTCCTGCTTTTGTAATGAAAATTATTACATTTTCATGTTAAAATGCACTGGAGTGCAATAAATGATACATTCTTTGGTTGCCACGACTGTTGTGTGCTTTTTTGTATCTAATTGTATGTCTTCATCCTTAGTCTAGCCGTTTAGCCTTAAAATGCATACTTTAGGGTCACTGTCTATGATTTTGCACAATGGACAAAACTACATACGATTAATTTTCATCTTTAAATGACTAAACATAATTTAGGCACATATCAAACCCCCAGCAAATCATATTTTCCCACTGCAGGCATTAAATACCTTTTACCTTTTATTATTTGTAACAGATTTGAAGGGAGACCTTGCCTTTAATTGTATATTTTTTAATTTTCTCTCTCTCATATTTTGCCCTTCTTTCTGGGTCAACATATCTGCATACATATCACAGTCTGCTGCTGATGTGGCTGATACAGGATGCTTAAGTGGACACATTACATCAAATATTCTATTTATAACAAAATTATGAGATGTCATGATTTTGGTAAGTATCTATTTACCGAAACCATAATTATATATATATATATATATATCCTAATTAAAATTACTCATAAGTTAAGTGGAAAAACTCAACCCTGTCACAAGTTTACAATCCTGAAACAAATACATATGACAGGGTTGAGTGTATTGGGGTTGAGGTTTTTTGCTCAAAATGGCCACTGCTGCTTGTGTTGAGTAGGAGAGTAGAATATATATGGCAGCAATGAAATACAAAAAAAAAAAAAGTACATTGTTATATACTTAAAATTTTGAAAAAGATTCATTTTTACTCTCAATTTTATGTGATGAGGTTGAGTTGTTAAGCTTGACGGTACCCTCCCTGACCTATAGTACGCCTCAAAAACATGAATAAAAAGTATGATACCATCATCTGCACCACTGTTGAAGAGACCTGAATTATGTCATTCCTGGTAAATGATGTCACATATGAGTGAAGTCTAAATTATTATGGACATAGAATGGTTGGCGTGACAGGGTTGAGGGGCATAACTTTAGTCTGTTTTTGTTGTTGTTGTTTTTTTATATATCTAGCTTTTTTTTTTTTCTTTTTTTTTTTGGAAGAAAGTAACACAAATAAATACTTACATTATTGCCATTATTGACACTGTGCACATTTCGTTAAATAGAAATAAAAATATATTTTATGGTAAAAATGATTTAAATGCAGTAATTATTTTTATTCATTATGGACATACCAAAGTGTTTTGAAAAGCTTTTAACATTTAATTTTTGTAAACCACCACTTCAATAAGTCACTGTGACATATTACCAAATTGCAAGAACTTACCTGTGTGTGTGTGTGTGTGTGTGTGTGTGTGTGTGTGTGTGTGTGTGTGTGTGTGTGTGTGTGTGTGTGTGTGTGTGTGTGTGTGTGTGTAAAGAAAATATCACATACACATACTACTTTTAAAAAGGAAATGCGGACAAACGGAAAATCCCAATTTATTTGCTTGTAGCGTCACCTGCTGGTCGACTCAAACATATACGTTTGTTTATATCTTCTGTCCACGTCGAGCTAATCAAACTGTCGAAACACCTCAGATTAATATAACTGTAAATTCACGAATAAAACTACTGGCTGAACATAAAGCTATATAATTTGCATACTTCATATTCTGCTTGTGTGAGATCACATATGATAGAGCAGGAAACAGTTGGTCGACTCTGACAGTCAAGCAGCAACTGTGGACAGGTGATCCAATTAGCCGAAATTTAGTTGTGAATTCCACTGTCGTCTTCAAAGAACGACGCCATTGTCATCTAACGCGGTTTTGCTCGGATGATCTAACCAAATGTTGTTAAAACTCACTTTAATCCCACAAAATCTGGTAAGTGCTGCTAAATTCAATCCCCCGAGGTTTAGTGTCCGTTATGTTGCATATCTGGTACTTTCCAGGAATAGGGTACAATGCTGTCCCATTTAGCTTTTTTTTTAACCATTAGGGCCGGGGAACAAATCGTATTTCTGTTATAAAGTATTATCTTACATGAAATCTATGGCAAGTAGCTATTTTTAAATGGAGCATTTTGTCCTATCAGGTCATTATTAACTACAACAATGTCACATTTTGGGCATAATCTGTTGAATTCAATTGTATTCAAATAATTAAAAAAGTATTAAAAAAAATTGAACGGTGCTTAAAATCGACATAACATTATTGAAATAACCTTATTTTAGATTTGACCTTTTTCTTATTTATTTATTTAAAATATAAATAATACAAATATGAAATAATTTATTATGATATATGTAGCAGACAAAAACATGAACATGATGAATAGGACATGTGGCTTTGCATGGTTAAACGACATACAGCTATTATCACTGTAACTCACTTTTGTTGCCAGCTATTTTGACAATAATGGCTGTGTTGAGTTATTTTCAGAGGACAGTAAATATATAGGCTACTGCTATACAAGCAGCACATTGACTACTCTAAAATATATCCAAGTTTAATTTCTATAGTATTGTCTCTTGAGAAGATAAACACATGTATAGATAATATTTATTCCTAGACAATTTGCATCACACCAAAATGTTCTTCATGTTACTAAAATATAATTTCCTGTCATTTTTTTAACTTGCAGTTCTCAAAGATTTTTAGGAAATTCACACAATACTTATTTACATTTATTATTATGTATTAACCCAATTTAGTCAATGTAAGCACTTCTAACCTTAGGCTATTTATAAAGCTAAACGTTTTTTTGTAAATCAAGCATTTATTTTGTTCGTAGTCCATGTAGGCATCAATTAACAGTCCTGAACTACATGTTCTCTGCTGGACTTGCTTCAGTTCTCCTGGATTCTTCTCATCTGAGGTTTTCTTTTACCGTTTGCCATCTGGCAGCCCACTCACCAAACATGTAACAATGTTTTTTTTTGGATTCAAGAACATTAAGTCCTCCAATAATTTCAGCTAATGCAAAACCTCAATGAGAAATCCAATGGTTACTCCATTTTAAGTGTTTTTGTAGACTGTGGTAAAAAAAAAAAACCACACACCAACAACCAGTCTGTTTTTTGAAGCTGATTTACTTACACCAATAAAAAATAAAAAAATTAAATGTTTACATCTTTACACCTTATTTGCATAAGCCTTTATCATTGCACAAAGTCAGCGGGCACCGGCACACTATTTTAATGTTCATAAGGCAGACGAGCACGTAATAATCATACATTTTGATTTGCGAAAAAGGGGTGGGGAAATGTTCTTATTTGGAGAAGCTAAATAGCAGCAGTGCAAAACCAGCTACATAAACTGTGGAAATGCATGAGCTCACCTGTCTGGCATAATACTGTGATTCAAAAGCACTATTCAGCAATAAGGACAGATGAATATTGACCTCTGTATACACTTGTACCCTCAAAACAGCAGCATTGCAAAGAGAGATCCTTAATTACATTAATACACAGATATCTGGTTATAAAGAAATACTGTACACATATGCTAACATTCAAAATGTTGGGGTTAGTAAGATTTTTGTTCTTATGCAGGCTGCATTTATTTGATAAAAAAGCAGTAATATTGTAAAAATATTATTATAATTTAAAACAGCTGTTTTTCGGTTTTAAAATATTTTGACATTTATTCCTGATGCAAAGCTGAATTTTCAGAAATTATGCTAATATGCTAATTTGCTGCTCAAGAAACATTTCTTATTGTTATCAATGGTAAAAACCAGTGTGCTGCTTAATATTTTGTGGAAATCATGAAACATTTTTTTTCAGGATCCTTTGATTAGAAAATTTTAAATAATTTATTTTAAATATTTTTTTGTAACAATCTTAGTCTTCACTATCATTTTAATGGATCCTTCCTGGCTGAATAAAAGTTCTTTAAAAAAAAAAAAAATACTGACCCCAAACTTTTTATCTGTAGTGCATTTGTGCAAGAGAAGTGCTGTTTATATGTGCCTGATAAGACAAATAAATCCATAAGACTATTACATCACTGCTCAGAGATTCAAAGAGAACGCATTCTCTTCATAACACCATAAACATAAAATATGACTAAATTAAAGCTAAAATATGAAGCATTCAAGTTTTATTTGGTGGGTAATGTACCTTAAGTCATTATTACTATTATTATTATTAAGTGACCCAAAGTGATCTGGCTACTCAGCGATGCATGATGTCACTAGCAAATCAAGCAGTAATTGGCTGTATTAATTGGGCAGTAAGGAAAAGAACATATTCTGTCGAAGGAATTGTGACTTGTTACCTACGGGTTTTTTAAAGTGCAGGGAAAATCATGTGCATATGTTGTTTTTGTGTTTTTCAGAAAGACAAGCTTGCAGAAGTTGCTCAGACGGTCGTGGCATCATATGACAGGTCCGCTGGTTAAATAACCTCTGAAGCATAGGGGGAAGGGGAATTATATTATGTTTTGTATACCAACTGACAACTTTCAAATGTGAATTTAAATTTAATGTATTAATAAGGTGACATGCATTTAATAGTATACTAATATTTAATCTAATCCTTGAATAATCCAATTTAATCTTGAGTTTCATAATATTAGATTGTTATGTTAGATTCAAATGAAGATTTCAAAAGTTATCCACAGGTGAATTTATTCGCATACCAGTTTGTTGATGGGCTTGTATCTCATCCAGGCCAGAAAGACTGCGGAAGGATCGGCGCTCCTTGAAGGCCACAGTAGGAAGCATATCCTCCTCGTCCCTCAGCTCCAGATTTGGTGTTTTTCCAGGACCTGGTATCCTGATTACAGGCTTCACATTCTCACAAGGCAAGTTATCCTTCACCGATGCTGTTTTCTAATGGGGCCAAAAAATGAGCAGGGCTTCTAGATGAGGCATAAACAAAGAGCCTGCCAGACACTGATAGCCTTACCTTTTCTTCAGAGTCTGTCTTTCTTGTTCTTTTCATGATTTGTTCCAGGCGCTGATTTGGATAAAATTGAAAGCACAATATATATGTACAACTACAATATCATTCAAAATTTTTTTTTAAAGAAGTCTCTTATGCTCACAAAGGCTGCATTTGATCAAAAGTACAGTAAAAACAGTAATATTGTTAATGTATAATGATGATAAAGCTGAATTTTCAGCATCATTACTCCAGTCTTCAGTGTCACATGATCCTTCATTCCAATATGCTGATTTGATGCTCAAGAAAACATTTCTTATTATTATCAATGTTGAAAGCAGTTGTGCTGCTTAATATTTTTGTGGAAACTTTTTCCAGGATTCTTTGATTAATAGAAAGCTCTAAAGAACAGCATTTTTCATTTGAAATAGAAATCTTTTTTTAACATCATAAATGTCTTTACTGTGACTTTTGATCAATTCGATGCATCCTTGCTGAATAAATCTAGACGTATCCTAAGGCATACCTTTTTCCGTTCTTGGCGTTCGGCTTCCTCTCTCTGGAAATGACTCTCTCTTTCCAGTCTCTGCTGCTCTGCCAGCACCCTTTGACGAGCCTCTTCCTCTCTCTGAGAACACATGGAGCATTATAGGAATTTTTATTCAAACTGCCGATGATCCATCTATTTTGATTTGATCCTAGCTTTATTTTAAAGGGGGGGGGGGGGTCTGAAGCAAAAAAGATGGTAATGTCAGTAAGAGTAGCATATGAAGCACTATATTTAAAGCTTGAACAATGATAGTTTTCCAACATGTTTCCCGAGCACTTCTCCTTCTGTCACTGGTTGGACAAATAGACAGTCCTGCCTTAAAGTAACTGAACACTTTTCATTTTGCCTTATAATTTTCTACATATTAAACTGAGTATGGAAAAAGCTTTAATACCTGCTGTTGAAGCCTTTTTTCCTCCTCTTTTTGTCTGCGAGCGTTTTCCTCCTCAGCCTGAAGTCGCTCTTCTTCCTCTCTCTTCCTCTTTTCTTCCTCCAGTCTCAGGCCCTCTGCCTCCTGGCTGGCTCGTTCTTCGGCTCTCCGACGGGCCAGTTCCTCTCTGCTCTTTCTGCAAAGAGGAGACACGCAAGTTCATTGAGATACCTAAACCACTTCGGGAATTTATATCTGTCATCATGAATTTCATGTGCATTTTAACTTTAGCATAAATAAAAAAAATTAACTCTTTAGATGCTTCAGCAAAGACATAGCCTAAGTTGTGGCTTTTTTCATTTGCATTGATAATAATCAAAAGTTAAGCTTTAAAATACTTGGACACAAAATAAATCTTACACTGAAAGAGGAAAGGTAATAATACTAAAGTATACCTCTCTGTCTCCTCTTTCTGTCTGCGTTCCTCTTCCTCTTTCTCTCTCTGGAGTCGGGCTTGCCTCCTTTTCTCTGCCAGTATGCGAGTGGCCTGCTCCGGGTCTGTAGTCCAAGTAGATGGTCTGACTTGAGCGCCGTCACCAACCTGACTTGTTCCTGAAAGTGAATAAGAGAAGAGAGACATATTTCACCAGGGTATTCAAAATACCTTCACAATATCCCCAAACACTTTTATGGTGTCAACAAGAACTGCCAAAGAAGATTAAAGATACTGAAACCTATTCCCAACTCGGTGAACAAATTATGAATCTGCCTATTGTTTTAATAATAAATCCTGCACTTACAGTATATTTTATGCACTTCATTAAAATTAATCTGTTAATAAAAACATCCGCCCGTCCCTTCCACATATTTTATGCATTTCAGCAAATAAATCTTTTAATCCTTCCTGAATAATAAATAACCTAAATACCCACCACAAAGAACCATTTTAGCATAAAAGGTTCTAAACTGATTTATTAATATCATTCAATTGTGGGAGTCATTGGAAAATGTGTTTGAGTCTTTCACTAACCATTAGGAATCCGAGAGCCTGCTGGTGGATTCAGAGGTCCATTAGCAGCTGGATTCAACTGGAGTTGGTTATCTCGCAGGCATTGTTGAGTAAGTGTTTCGTCAGGTTGTAGATGATCGGAGGAGAGTTCATACTCTGGTTCTAGATCCTCCTCTTCTGGCAGCGGAGGTAAACTGTCTTGTTTAAGTGTGGCGTGTCTGACATGCGATCTGTTCTGCAGCCTTGGAAATGGTTATATAAAAAGAGAATGGGTCAAAATAACCCACAGTAACTTTTTTTTATTTTTCTGAGTGTGAGGAAAGTTAAGTGTTACTCATTCTTGAAGGAAAGTAAAATCACAAGTGAGATCTTTTTAAAGCTGTACTACACAACTTTAGCCTCTCTGTCGCTGCTGGAGTTGTTTCTCATGTCAGTTGTGCTTTGCCACTGGTCTGCTGCATGACATGCAAGGACATATGACATGAAACTGAAATTTACCTCCATATAGTGCAGCTTTATTATCTCAATTGTTTCCCCGGCCTAAGACAGTAATGATATTACGAGGAGAAAAATAGAAAATTGTCATTTACACCCCCTTATGTTGTTCCAAACCTGCATGAGTTTATTTCTTCCTTTGAACACAAAATAAGATATTTTAAAGAATGTTGGTAACCAGACAGTCGACGGTAGCCATTGACTTCCATAGTATTTTCTTTTACTACTATAGAGTCAAAGGCTACCGTCGACTGTTTGATTAACAACATCCTTAAAATATCTTCTTTTGTGTTCAACAGAGGACAGAAACTCATACAGGTTTGGAACAACTTGAGGGTAAGTGATGACAAAATGTACATTTTTGGGTGACCTATCCCTTTAAGTCTAATATTACCAAAAAAAAAAAATATGTACCATGATGTTGGAAGGACAGTATGCCCCGGTGGGTTTGTGTCTTGTTTGGGCTTGATTTCAGTTGTTTGTAGTTGTGGCTTTTTCAAGTCTTGTTCCTCAAAATCACCTTTTGCCACCTGATATAATACATAAAAAAAAAAAAAACTTTTACATGCAGTTCTCCATGTAAAACAAAGTAACTTTTTTGGGGGGGTTGTATTAAAAAAAAAAAAAAAGATTCTAACTCCCACCAGCTCTCTGTTTGTGGTTCTGCGGATGGTGACTTTTGGATTTGAGCTTGCAGGCCTGCTTGGCACTTTCCCACAATGCACCTTTGGTTTTCGCATGGTGCTGGAGTTCATGGTATGACATGAGGCTGAACGACGACAAACATGAACAACTGAAGACGTATGTTGTGGGGTTTTTTTGTAAGATAAGGATGAATGAGTACAGAGAAATCAGGTGAAGCAATGAGCAAGAGAAGAAAACAGAAAGTTTATATTTATAACACAAAGCTGCAGACTTTGGTTTTCACTTTAAACATCTGAATGAAAGATGCAGTTTGTCACTCTAAAGTGATACCTGTGTCTCGTGACAGACACACAGCACTCTTGCTTCTGGCTAGATAAGAGACGGTAGGGGTCTGAAGACGACGGACAAGGTCAATCTCCCACTGACTAAGAGAGCGGTGTTTAGCTAGAGAAGAGCAGAAAGCAGAGCGACCAAGAGGAAGTGGTCAGAAAGGGAGTTGGGAAAATAGATGCAAGGCTAGAAGACCAGTGCCAGTTACTGGGTTTTGAATCATGCATTGAGATATTCACCATTTTTGTTTTCGTTCTTGGTGACCCTTCGTGAGCAGTGGCCAGGTTTCTGTTTGGCCTTCTGACTTTTTTCCATCGTCTTCCGCACCACAGACTCAAAACGCTCCTAAAACATGGGATGAAAACACTCCCATGATTCCATGCTCCGTATGTTTTTAATCATGGTTGCAAAATCTCAAGAGCAATTTTTCATCATCGTTGCTGCAGTCAGTGTTACAGTGTTTATGAAACTGATGATATACACTACCCCAATCAAAAATGTGGACACTTCACTCAATTTATTAGCTATTTATTAGCTATTAATTTCTTATTGAACTGTTAAGTAAAATCAATCATTTGCACTCGTGCTATTCGGTACAAAAACTGCACTCGTGTGATATTGCTTAACATATAATGATATAAAAATCTGACGACAAACTCATACAGGGGCATTTTTGCCCTGACATCTTGAATTTTAGGGGCATTCGAAATGTATTATAGGCACTTTTTTTCAGACAAGTGTTCACGTAGAGGACAATGTGGATAAATCTAGATTTAAATTCTCCGAGACAAGATAGTCAATGCATGACCTGTCGTTTAAAACGAGGCGATCTGAACATTATGGAGCAGAAACGTTTTGACTGAAACGTGAAGACAAATAATATAGGGTTTATGTGTGTTTTTCAAGCCATCTCAAGGTATTTATTGACAAAGTATATGAATAATGCAGTGCTAATTGACAGCCTTTAGGCCATGAGACGGGACCCCAAATTTGGGTTACCGGTAGTCCGGTACCATTTTGAGGGATTAAATTTCTTTTTGATTTTCATGAAGGTACACATCTCTAGTGTTGGAAAATGTGTGATAGCATCCGATCCATGGTAGCTTTCATTAGAAATCAACACTTATATCATTCTACCTCAAGGTAAGGTGTTCAGTGACTACAAGAGAGAAAAATGTATCCTTTTATAATTTTAAAAATGTATTTAAAAAAATTATAATTTTTTTATTATAAAAATTTATTAAAAAAAATATAATTTTTTTTAATAAAATTTAAAATTTTATTTAAAGATAAATTCATTTATCCTTTTTCTTGACATATGTTTGAAAATCGTCCTCCGTAACCAAAAACTACCTTGAATCTAATGCTATCACACATTTTTCAAATACAGGGTCATATACCTACACAAAAATCACCATGCGGTTTAATCCCTCAAAATGGTACCAATCAACCCTCTGTCTCACGGCCTACTTTAAATGTTTTTGAAATAAGCTTCTGCTCACCAAGGCTGCATTTAATAAAAAATACAGTAAAATGGTAATATTGTGAAATAATTACAAATTAAAATAGTGATGGCAAAGCTGAATTTTTAGCATCATTACTCCAGTCTTCAGTGTCACATGATCCTTCACAAATCATTCTAATATGCTGATTTGCTGCTCAAGAAACATTTCTGATTATTATCAGTGTTGAAACCAGTTGTCCTGCTTTAAATTGTTGTGGAAACCATAATGCATTTTATTTTTCAGGATTCTTTTATTAATAGAAAGTCCAATTAACAACATTTATTACATTTATTTATTAAATGGAAATCTTTTGCAACGTTATAAATGTCTTCAACTGTCCCTTTTGATCAATTGAATGCATGCTTGATGAATAAAAGTAGTACTTTCTCTCTTTGTTTAATCTTACCACAAATGTTTGAATGGTATCATGGTTTCCACAATAATATTAATTAAATTATCGCGTAAAATCTTATTTATTTATTTTTATTTATTTATTTTAGGGCTGCTGATTTAAAAAATATTACCCATCTGTAAAACTTGTGTGTATATTGGTAGCATATATAAACTATACAAAGAAAATCTCTCCTACCAAGCATCAGTCACAATTGATCTCCTGCACAAACTCACTCTTTCTTCTTTGATCCTCTGTCTGCGTTTCTCCTCGACCGCCACCCTCCTCCTTTCCTCTTTTTGTCGCTGCTCCTCCAACTTCTTCCGTCGCTCCTCCAGGTGTTTCTCGTAAAACTGCTTGGCCCGCTCCTCCCTCACCAGCCAGCCGTGCTCGCGCAACGCTACAGTTCAGGAACACCAATAAAAACTTCAGAAAAGCTTTCTGTTTGTTCTTCACTTGGTAATGATGTTATATGTTGAGAGTAAGGAAAATACCCAGCTGTTTTTGGTACACCTCTCTCCGTTCCCGGGCCAATCGCAATCTCTCGTCCACTTTTTTCGCATTTGACTCTAAATTACAAAAAAAAAAAAAAATCAATTTGAAATGTTTTATGCCACATATAATATAATAAATTCAACTATGTTGGTATAAATGAGCTGCTGGGAAGAGCTCAGAAAAGATTCAGCTTCAAAGACTTTTCTTTACTGACTGTATCCATGGCAGCAGTATCAGGAAATTGAAGGGTTTGAGAAAGGAAAATGCAAATTGAATTGATGGGTAAATATTAGCTATTTCAGACCTGTATTATTTCCATTTCGTTTATGGATATTAATCTGTGCTGATTTAATGTGCTGTGGAGCACATGCTTTTCTTTTCTGCTCCAGGGCTGTGGGTTTCACATCAGATCTGGAATCTGGGGGGAAAACAAAAACAGGCTACTTGTTTAGTATTTAGAAAAATAGATATATGTAAGCACCAAACATAAAAACCTTTGTTTTTTGGTCTCTAAACATTCTGCTGAAATTTACCAGACTTTCCAACCCAGTTCGAAAAGCAGACTGGCAGTTTAGAAGTTGAGGGATGTTATGATTTACAACATTATTACAAGAATGAGGAATGCTAAGTTGAATGCTTGGTTCCCAAACTTTTTAGAGTGGCGTACCCCCTGAGGCATTTAACATCCTTCTGCATACCCCGTCTCTTCTACTTGAACTGCAGTCACTCCTTTTCCATTAATGGACAATATTTGCCCCCTTAAATTGTTTTCAGGTGGATTTTTACCTTAATGAAATAATGATTTAAATTTTAAAAAATCAATAGAGAAATATGTAATGATGGTAAAAACAAAGTGATACTTTTACATATTAAACTAAAACTGCCAGTAGGTGGGATTGTCACTGTGTTAATGAATGAGCATCTAGTCCATTCATTCATTCAGTAAGGAAGCAAGTGGCTGTATTTATGAATCAGTCATTGAATCATTGACTCTCCCTATTCGTTCAAAGCCGCAGATTCGTTCACTAACGAAACTGCTGTGTGTTGCTTGGAGACTCACAACAGTTCTGCTGTGGCTTTCGTTGGAACTATTATCTCATGCAAAATAGAGCAAACAATATTGATAATACTGTGTGAACTGTTGTATTAAACCACAATGAGACATTTGCAATCGTGTGGATATTTGTGAAAAATTGCGTTCTTGCTCATAACGTCAACATTAAAAACAAGAACTCACACAGGGTAAGTTTTTGTATTAAAGAGAGTTTGAGTCTAAATCGATCTCTATGCAGTCTGTGTCTATATTTGTGCTTCATGGTAGTAAGTGCTAAATCCCCACTTTTACAAAGGTACGTTGTTGAGAACGCCAGTGATGTAGTGCAGTTTGATAAGGCAGCATAATCTGCACGTTATTCACGTTATAATTGTTATTCAGATTTGCACCAATCCCGTTGTCTCATGAGTGTGGTCCGTAGACTTTGTAAAGAAATTAAGACAGCAAAGATGAATTAAATTGATTTAAAAGTGGCAGTAAGACATTTATAATGTTACAAAAGATTTCTATTTCAAATAAATGGTTCTTTTGAACTTGGTGCATTTTTTCAGGATTCTTCGATGAACGTTTTCCACAAAAATGTTAAGCAGCACAACTGTTTTCACCATTGATAATAAGAAATGCTTCTTGAGTAGCAAATCAGCATATTAGAATGATTTCTGAAGGATCATGTGAAATCTTACCGAACCACAAAATAATCAAGAAAAACATGGTATTAGCTAATAAATATATCTTGAACCATTTTAGCCACATACAAAAAAGGCTTTTTAACACTGGGGTTATATTGTTCAACTTTTCATACTGTATATTGGAATCCGGTTTCGTAACTGAGACACACCCATGGTTAAAAGCGGTGCTTTACTATGACACATTGCTTTAGCCAGAAAAGTGTCCTTAACCTGGGGATAAAAAAAAGATAATTTAGAGTTGTTTAATGTGATAACCCTATATATTTAACCGATTAGTGTATTAATGCAAATACATGCTTGGCCCACCGGACCTCTCTCTATCACAGCAGTGTCTTTAAAAACACCATTGTAAACAAAACTTGTGGGCCAAAAGGCAGATATAAAGATGAACATGAGACCTGTCTCGTGCCAGTTTTGACTGTCCTATGAATCAAGACAGCCCAAAGCCTGTACACCATTACAAAGGCGACATTTGTTTTACTGTTGCTGTGTAGAACAACAAATTCAGCGCCTGACTGAAGCGTTAACAACAGTGAACTCTTGAGGTGAACTTAACACTCCAGAGCACCACAACAGTCACATCAAGGGTTGAAGTGTGGAGCACGATGCATTCAGAACTGCTGAATTTGCATGCATGAATATTTGAGTCAGTTGCTCTAAGAAAATTAAAGCAGATGTACTTGTCATTGGGGGCACCTTGCATAAAAGACATCTAGCATGTGACGCAAGACACTTATAAACACCTTTAGCTCAGCTAGCCTCAACACACCATAGACTGTACACAGTACACACACACACACACACATTCTTAATACGTCACTACTATCTGAGCTAACCATGAAGAAATACCTTGTAATTTAGTATATACTGTACACATTTAGATGGGTGACGGTTTTATGTTTTTATGGCTCCTAAGAGAATCATTGCATGTTTGTACACAGAATTGTAGTTATACATATTCCCAGTCAAAGTTGTACGCAGTTTATTTTGGACCCTGAATTAGCAGATGCAATAAATGTGAACAGAATAGCAGTTTATGATGAGAATGAATGTCATTTATCGCCTGCTTCTCACCAACCTTTCCGTTTCCTCGCAGTGTCGTACATCTTCAGCTGTCCTTTCTCTGCGATCGCAGCGAGACCCAGCTCTGCCGTTCTTCCCGTCTTCCTCCACTCCCGTTCCTGCTCTGCCAGGCTCAGATGAGCTGGCATCTTTCTGTTTCAAAGCTCCTGTGAGTCTGTGTGTTCGTCTAATTCATGCAGCGCATCTGTGTTCCCTGTGCAGAAATCTTCCACTCCAGCTAACCGCTTGTCAGTGGATCCCTAACAGGGAGTATACTGGTTGAGAGAGAGAGAGAGAGAGACCGAGTATGAGACAGAAATTCTTCCTGAGGGAAATTGTGTGAACAGCTGATTTGCTCCTGTCTGGGCTGCGTCCAGCACACGTGCACGGCTAGCAAACTCAGCGAGCATACGTATGTAAAGAGTGCACATGTGCCATCCTCTGACAAAAGAAACCCATCCAGCTGGTAGCAGCTGTGATTTATTGGAGGTGTGTTTCTCTTTAAAAAACCCATAGAGCCCCTTGCATTGCATTGCCTGGTCACATTGATGGCATGCAAGCAGCTGCAGCAAGGATGAAATATTCACAACGCAATAAGATTCTAAGTGGTTGCCTGGGTGATCGTGAGACTGAATGGAGGCATGACATTGCATGCCAGTGTCCAGAAATAGCAGCAGACTGTGCAACCCTGCAAAGAAAACGTGATTTCATTCTGCACAAGGATTAGTGACTTGTAACATAAAATATACAACCGGTCACACAGATCAGATTAATGGGGAAAGTTCTTGTCCTGTATCTTGGACATGCTTTTCACATCCCATAATGCTTTTCTACAGATCGGCTGCCTGTGCATGAGGATCTGCTCTCAGACAGAAAGATGACGTTATGCGTTCACTCAGTTACAACTGTAATTCCATATTGGTGGTTTTATGTACAGTAATAGTTATCTTGTATTATATTGCATTAGTCTTCTTTTAGCAAATTTCTATCCAGTGCAACTTGCAGTTCATGTTTTGGGACAATCGCCCTTGAGGAATGGGTTGGGTGAACTCACAAATCACCCTTTCAGCACACAGTTTTGAACCTTCAAGCTAAACTGTAAACCACTAAGACACACACCACTCATGCATGTAGTGGAGACAAAAGGCTATAGTAGGTTGTCACACTTTTCAACAATTTCTGTACAAAAATCTTTGTTTGGCTACAAAAAATTAAATTGGTTTAAATCGGTTCTGTGACGGGGCATGTTGTCACAATAGAAACTTGCCATTAAATATCCTGCAATAGGCGTTTCCGTAAACTTTAAACAGTAAAACAATTCATGAAACAGCAAAAAAATTATATCAAGACATCAATGTCCGATTTCACAGACAAGGCTCAAGTCTAGTCCCAGACTAAAATGCATAATATTTGAGCTGTTTTAACTGAAACTGTTTGCACTGATATATCTTAAAATATGACACTGCTATTGTTTTATTCTCAATTTTTTTTTTCTATGGCACATTTTGAAAAAGCTGCTTAAATGTTGTAATTTAACTAAAGCTTAATCCTTGATTAATCTAACAAATCTTAAGTGTTTTTATATAAATATTACATTTAAATGTTGTAATTTTATACAACTTTTTATATTATACAGTTGAGGGTTTTTTTTGGTAACACATTACAATAAGGTTTCATTAGTTAAATACATTAGTTAACATGAACTAATAATGAATTGCACTTCTACAGCATTTATTAATCTTTGTTGATGCTAATTTCAACATTTGCTAATACATTATTAAAATCAAAAGTTGTATTGTTAACATTAGTTAATTAGCACATGAACAAACAATGAACAGCTGAATTTTTTTAACTAACATTAACAAAGATAAACAAATACAGTAACAAATGTATTGCTCGTGGTTAGCTAATTTTAGTTAATACATTAACTAATGTTAACAAATGAAACCTTATTGTAAAGTGTTACCGTTTTTTCAGTAAACCTTAGTGATACTGTATAGTCATTGTGACAGCTAACCTCGGCATCATCTCTATATAACATAACATTACAACATAATGTAATTTAGTTTTATCTGGAACATGTGTCAGAGCCAAAAGAATTCTTTAAAAAGGATCACAAGGTTCAAAGTACATGTCTTAATTTGTGTAAATGCAAATTTCCGGTTGGTTACATTAACAGCATACCCACAGAGAGACTAGTTTGTGATTATAAACCGGTTAGGTGAGCCTTTCCAGGGTGGTGGCACTTCTAGGTTTGTCACATTCTCAGGATGTCTGAATGGTAAGACTTCTGATGACAATTCAAACAGATGTTTACAGTAATATTCTGTACAGATCGTATTTCATTTGTGATTTGATAAACAATCAAGTTTTTGAGTTTATAATATGATGGCTTAGTGTAACACTGAAATTTCTTTGGTTTGATTTGTTTCTGTAACTAGAAATCAGTAAGTACATCTGAAAAAGGGTGAGAGAGGGAAAAATCTACACAAGTAAATGAATGAGTGATCTGTCTGATGTCATGATGACAGGTGAAAGAATGAGGAAATTGAGCTTGTCAAAGCTTTTTCCCCTTCCTGTCAGAAAGGTAGTGTCAGTGTTATGCTGACTGACTGTTGTCTGCACCGATATGTAAGGGTTCAAGAGAAGAGACTGCCCAGGGACTGGATCTGAACGCTTTAAACAACAGGTCACTGACTGAAGGAGGTCACTGAATTATCATCTCTACAGGTATTTTCTTTTTTCACTATATTTCTGCTCATAATTTCCACCTGTCATTTTGTATGCAAGTGAGACCTAATTCATTGCCATTTATTTTTTGTTTCAAAGGACGTTTATTTGGTCTTGCTCTTATTGTTCAGTGAGCATAATAATCGAATAGTGAACTAGGAGAGGTGCAATTTTAGCATTTTTAAATGTTTAAGAGCAGGTGGATCTCTTAAGTTTAGTCCTGGAATCTGTTCCATGTGTCATTTTGGTTTTGGGTGAGGTTTACCTACCTTACTTGTAGTACTGTTGGAGTTACAGATATACGGTGTCTACAGTATACCCACCAAGAAAGATGGTTTACTGATTCATTAAAAAGTGGTTATTCTGGTTTATGATTTGTTGTCCTGGTCAAATTACAACACTCCCAGCTACGTATAAACTAGCCATATTAAATCCATATAATGTGGCAGTGCCTTCTATATTCAGTATAATAGTTCACCCAGATATGACACTTGTGTATTCAGTATAATAGTTCACCCAAAAATGAAACTTTGTAAAAATGTATATGACCTAAGTTATGTCAACATAAATTTGTACATTGCTTTAGCTCTTCAAAATAAGTTAAGCAATTTTCAACTTTTTTAAAAGTTATAAAGTTCAAGTTGAAATAAAGTTCAGTGTAAAGTTGAAAAGTTCATGTTATATAAGATTCAACTATTTTTTTTTTAAGTCAGTTTAATGTAATTTAAGTTGAAATGGCTTAAACATCCAAGTTGATTGTACTTAAAAGTTTAAGGCAGCAAGTTTATTTTTTCTGTCATTTACTCACGCTTAAGTCATTCCAAACCTATATTATTCACTTTGGTCCCACTTTATATTAAGTAGCTTTAAGTCCTATGCACTTACATTGAAAAATAAGTACAATGTACTTATTGTGTTCATGTTTTGCTGCTATTGAGGTGTGATACGGGTAAGGTTAGTGACAGGTGTGGTGGTATGGGTAGGTGTAAGGGAAGGGTCAACTGTGTAATTACATAAATTAATTACAGTTGTAATTACATGCTGGTATTTTTAAAATATAAGTACAATTTAAAAACATGTACACAATAAGTCCATTGTATCAAATTATTAATTTCAATGTAAGTACATAGTACTTAAAGGGTTAGTTCACCCAAAAATTGTTCACCCAAATTATGTTATTAATGACTCACCCTCATGTCGTCCCAAGCCCGTAAGACCTCCGTTCATCTTCGGAACACAGTTTAAGATATTTTAGATTTAGTCCGAGAGCTTTCTGTCCCCCCATTGAAAATGTATGTACGGTATATACTGTCCTTGCCCAACTGTACTTCTCAACATCAAAACCATCTTCTGGTGGTGATGCCAATGGATATATTATGTGAAAACGTCTTTCTGTGGTAATCGATGTGCTTCATGACATAGGCAAAACAGTCAATATAAAAGACCTGATGATGCAAAGCCATGTAACAAATGTTGTTCAGTTTTGTGTGTGTAAAGCACTATTCAGGCACAATTGAAAATGGTATGAGGTCCACTTTGACTATGTATTCAACAATTGATCTGTCTTCCTGTAGGTACCACAATCATGGCACCAATCAGCCCAGATCTCTTTGGCTGGGCGATCTCCGAGCAACCAGAGGCCGCATTTCTCTCCATAATTGTCCTCATCATCATTAGCATTGCGCTCTTGGTTCTCTGTGCAAGCTGTAGAAAGTAAGTGGTTCCTTCTGAGTGACCTTTAAGTGAGTTCGCTTGTTTTTGTTTAAAAAAAAAACATGGCTCAAAAGATTAAGTCATCTGAAAACGGCTACAGGACATGCATTGTTGCCTATGTAGCCGAAAGTCACCTGCGCTATTGTTGTAAGCTACATTCCTAGACATCATTGTCAAGATTTTCCACTATACAAATTTGTAAGGAATGAGGCTGGAATGTGGCTCTGTCACAAAACACAAAGAACTGCGTCTTACACATTCTCGTTCATGCTTCACATAGGAAGACATGAAAAAGAGACCAAAAAGAGGTTAAAATTTCTAAAGTCTATGCAGACTGTCTGCATAGTGATGATATATAAGCCAGTGGGTCAAATACCAGTTAGCATTTAAGTCTCATTCACATTGTTTAAACTCATTAAGGTAAAATAATATATACTCCTTCCTTATAAATAAAATATTATTATAATAAAAAGATAGGATTTAAAGATTTATTCACATTTATTTGGAGCTGTACCTGGAGCTGCAGTTTTAATCTCAACCACTAGAGGCCAGCCAAGAACTCCAATGCATGATGTGTTGGAAAAACTTCAGGCATTTTTGGACTGACAATACTTTTAGTATCATCTGCGTTGCTCTAAAAATTTATTAATTACTAGCTACTAATTACATCTTCAAGAGTGTAATTGGGTTACTGTACAAATTACTCTCTCTAAAAAGTATTGCATTACTTATCTCTTTCTAAATCACCTCGACGGGAAACTTCTTTTAATTCTATCAAATAAATAATATAAAACTGAATTAAATAAAAAATAATTTTTGAACTGTTTTAAAGGGAGAAGGTTACCTTAACAACATAAATTTTAAAATTCACTTTTGTTTTATATAGAATTGCTCTATAGTCTATTACAGCATTTAACGCAATTACATCCATAGTAACTGTACTTAAATTTTTCAAGGGAAAAGTAATTAAATTACAGTAATCACTTAGCAATGCATTAAACCCAGCATATCATACATTTATGGTAAGCAATTGAATCTTGTTTGTGTTAAAATATAAATTGAGTGTTTAATTCAATAATGATTTGAAAATGAATGAACATTTATTTGGCGATTTTTGCAGTTTTAATCTCGGACACCAGCCAATAACTTCAGTGCATGTGGGATAAACTTTAGGCTTTAAACTTTATTGCACTGGCAAAATGGGATCGTATAAGCAATAGTCACTTATGTGTTTTAAACAAAAAGATTCAACTTATTTTATTACTCAACAGACATTCATTTGAGTTGGAGAGCAACAGTGCAGCCAGTGCACCAGGGCAGAAAACATCGACACTTGTGAGCGTGGTGAGTGACAAATCAAACGGCATAAAACTAAAAGAAAATAGACATTGTTTTTATATAAACAGTGTTGGGTAAGTTACACGGTTGAAGATGTAGTAGCTGGTAATTATTGAAATACTTTCTAAATCCCATATCAACCTCGACCAGTTAAATTTTGGTTTTAAATCCACTATAGACTACAGAACAATTTTATATAAAACAATAAAGTATTTAGTGCAATTACATCAGAAGTAAATGTAATCAAAATACAGAAAAAAAAATTTCAAGGGAAAAGTCATTAATTTACATTACACCCAACACTGCATATAAAACTGTTTTATATTTAGTATATTACAATATTTCTTTAACCTATCATACACTCAAAGGTTCATGGTTTCTTGACTCAATTTTAAATAACGCTTTATGCCAAAAAACGTTTCTATAGAAGGAGAAATGTCTTAAATGATTGCATATAATACTATCATGTTTAACTGGTTATTTCGTGTGTGTTTTTTTTTTTTCTCTAAAGTATGTTTACAAGCTGCTTAAAGTGCCCCTATTATGCTATTTTAAAGGTTTCTAATTTTCTTTCGGAGGTCTCTTTCAATAGGTTTATATGCATCCTGTCACATGAAGTTTCTATTTACCTGTTAGTTTTAGTTTGCTTTGTCCCTGTTCATTATTTGTCATAGTTAATCGTTCCCATTTGTTTCCATGGTTACTCATTTTTTTTAATTGATTACCCCACCTGTTCCTTGTTATTCTCCCTCCACTGAGGGTATGTTTTTCCTTTGTGTTTTTCGCTCGCTCACACAGATCTGCGAAAACAACCAAAAACGCTGTATTATTCATGCCAGGCCAGTAGTTGGCGATGCCGATGTCACTTTGTAAAGAAAGACTACAATCCCTATAGGCTGAATGTTTATCACCGTTTTCACGAATTCACATTTTTGTAGTTTACACAGAGACGATAACGGTATCGGTTTGAAAAACTTGCACTTTGAATCGCGTTTTCAAAGGTTTGCGTTTTCAGGCCCCCAAAACGCCATTGTCAGGCAAATGAACAGCACAAAGAGCATACGTTTTCTGTTTTTAGTTGAAAACTGTGTTGTGTAAACACAAAGTGGATTCACAGCACTGAAAACAGCCGTCTTCTCAACATGTCGACAACCTGAAACCAAACTCTTCCAGTCTCAGCTGCAACTACAGTGTTTGAGGGCGGGTCAAATAAATTAGACATTGTTCGTGGGCAGCCAATGAAGGACCATAGGCTAGAATTATGCAAATTTGTTACATTATTATGTAGGTTTGTAACAGGAAGTGAGACTGGAATTGCTGACGACTTGTTTTGGCAGTTCAGAATCGATTCTTTCCTTTAGGAGACGATAACTTTATTTAACTGCAGACAGTTGACATTCACAAACAGCTATATTACACACTGCAGGAAAGCGCATATTCGAAAAAGCATAATAGAGGCACTTTTAATTAAGTAAAATAAAAAATGAATTGAAACAAAATGAATTAAAGCTAAATTCATAAAATCATCCCATGATAGGAAAACCTAAAAGGTTTTATACATGAAGCACCTGAGAGAACCCTTTTTTTTCTAAGAGTGAATAAATGCTCAAATGTGATGTAAATCTTGTGGTAAACTCTAATTCTCAATTAAACAGGCAAGAATGGGCGATTCATCAGGAGCCAGACACAACCCTGCTGCTAATGAAATCATGGGTGATGAAATCGGTAAACTGAGTTGTCAATGAATTTCATTTGAATCTGAATGGCTGTTTATCACTTTGCAAACCCACTCAGCAGATGCACTAATCTTGTCTTTGAAGGTTTAGAGCCTGAGGATATACCAATATCTCAAGGAGGAATCGTGCACACACCTTGGAGAAGTCACACTCTCTCTCAAGGTATGTCTCTCCAGGACAAAAAAAGATAATTGCAAGGAATTCAAACCACAATAGTAATTTAATCCCTGTAAAAATTGCTTTACTTCTCACCACACATTCTGTTCCCAGAAATGAGAAATGCACAGAATAGTCTAACTGGTAAGAGTTATTTGTGTTAGACTCTATCACACAACAATGCATGTACTTTCTGCAGGTTCAAACCTACCAACTCAAATAAATGGCGGTGTTGGGACAGTAAGGGTTGAGGGGTTCAGTAACGCTTCAAGCTAACTGAGAAATTGTAAGCACTTCAGATGATTCTGTTCGACTTTTAAAATACTCCTGAAGGAATAGTTCACCCAAAAATAATTTACTCACCTTCAAGCCATCCTAGGTGCAGATGACTTTCTTCTTTCAGCCGAACACAATCGGAGTTACATTAAAAAATATCCTGACTCTTCTTTGTAATGGCATTGAAAAGTGCCCGGGTTTTTCAAAATGTCCACAAAGCGCTTCCATCATAAAAGTAATCCATACGACTCCAGTGGGTTAATAAATGCCTTCTGAGGCGAAGCCATGGGTTTTTGTAAGAAAAAATATCCATATTTAAAACTTTATAAACTAAACTCGATCGCCAGAAGTGAAATGTTGCCGAAAGATTATAGTTTATAAATTATGGTTATTTTTTTACTTAATAAATGCCTTCTGAAGCAAATCCATGGGTTAACCCACTGGAGTTTGGATGGATTACTTTTATGATGGATGGATGCGCTTAAAACTCAGGCACTTTTCAATGCCATTCAATGTCAAATCTGGGAAGAGCCCGGATATTTAATATAACTCAGACTGTGTTCAGCTGAAAGAAGGAAATCATATATAGGCTACCTTGGATGGTTCAAGGGTGAGTAAATTATGGGATAATTTTCATTTTTGGGTGATCTATTCCTTTTAAGTTGCATTTGAGTAAAAATTCAAATGACAATATAAACATGTTTTATTCATCTTCTTTTTTAATTCAGATAATAAAAATGGCGTCGGTGTAACACCACAGACTTTGTGGTGTAAACAAGCCTGTAGAAAGTTCCACCATCTTTATTATGCGACCTGAAATGCTCTTACTAAACAAAACCCCACACTATTTGGAGATGAATGCTTTCTGTATTCTTCTTGAGCCAGGCTGAAACCCTGCTTTGTGGGGTTGACTCCCATAAAGTGCCCATCAAACTTCATAGGAAATATTGGACTCCCCCTTTCCCTGACCATACTGACTCAAAGCTGAGTCCTTATGCAACGGTTCAGACAGAGTTGACCAGTGTCCCTCAGGGGAGAAGGAGCCTGATCTTCTGGTCACACCTGTTCTGACAAATGGGGTCTCTTTTCAGATGGTCACCAATTAAATACGACGTAGGCAAGAAAAAGTCACATTTCCATCTGAAGATGAGGTGGAAGTTTCGCCTCCATCATTACCAAAGAGACATGAAGAAATGAAGATTTTCATTGTATCTTTTTCTGATGAATTCCAGTATTGTGAAACTATTCTGTATTCATATTCATTCTTAATGGGGGTGATTTATAGATTGTATCTGTCAGATCAATTGATCTGGATATGTTTGACTTGATGGATGCATACTGGTGAATATTTTTAGGTTTTGACCAAATGCACGAATTCCAGTGGGCATGAATACATCCTATAAAAACTTGTAAATGTAAAATTAAATTAAAGTAACAAGTTCTTTAGAATTTACCCTCCTGTTCTGGTGAGATTGACTTTATTTAGGGGAAATATTTGCGCTCTAGAATTGGGCCTCTTTTCTTTTTTTATGAGATATAAAATTCTTTTATTTCTTTAAAATAAGCAGTGAAACAATTGTATTCATATTTAATGATTAATAATTTTGTAAACAACATGCAAGAAGCCATTTTAAGAAAAATATTAAAATGGATGATTTTTGTAAAATATTTGAGACAGAAAAATAGAAAAAACTAGATTTTCGAGTCAATAATCATTTTTCTACAAAATAGAGCTTTTTTAAAATAAAAAAATGAAACCCATAACATATCTGTGAACTTAGCACATGGTTTTAAACATTTTCTTTAAAGGGAGACTCCTTTTTTTGTAATTTCCTTTTTTGTCATTGACCCTTAGCCTATATTAAATGGGCTACTTGAATCAAGTAGGACTCTAACTTAGCTAGATCTAAAGTAAAATATTTCCGGTATGCAATATATCAAATGTTAGATAATACGGGGTCTCTGTAACCAAACATTTTTAACTGAGGGTGTATTCATTCATGTTCAAATGGACATTTTGTTTATAACCAGTTATTTGCTAAGCATGTTTTTGCGATATTACAACAACAACAAAAAAACGGACTATAAGGGTTAATTTGCATGCCCTATCTAATAAATTATAAATGTGTGTAATTGAATGCTTTTGTTTTGCTTGAACACATATTCATACATATACATATTCAGAATCACAAATAATACATTGTGAAAATATAAAAAGCCTGCAGCAGAAAAAGGTTGCATTATGCGTTTATCATAATCATTATCAATACTTCAGTCTATTTTTTAGGTCGCATTAGGAACTAACGTTACTGTTAAAACATCGTAACAGTGACATCCTTTAAACATCTTTTGCACATTTCTTTGACCTGTGATCTTCGTCCGTAATACCCGCGTTCAACGGTAAGTAAATAAACAATAAGAAGAAGAAAAACACTGTTATGATCTTCACGTGACGCCTGTTCTTGCAGTGTTTGAGCGCACGCGGATCTGTGGCCGACGTGCAGAATGCAGGTTCTTGAATGTTCTGGCGGGTTCTGGCACGATGAGGGACGTGCGCTCTCTCACGTAAAGCGTTTATTGGCCTCGGCTGGTTCACGAGCGCAGCGCGTGGGGAGGCGAGTCACAGCGATCGACCAATGGCGTGCGGCGGTGATGCCAGCGGACGGGGAAAACTCGAATTATGTAACCCTTTCATGCCCTCCCCTTTAGAAAACGGCTACTAAAAAAGAAGAAAAAGAAAACACAGTTACTGAACTTAAGATGTTTTTTGTGCATTTAAAGATAACACGCCTGCTGTTAGTTGAACAAATAGACTGACACCTTATTAACCCTCTCATTGTAAACCATTACAATTCATCGATTCGTTTAGGATGTGAGACCTATCATAAGATATGTGTGTTTCTGGTTCCAAAGCGTATTGTGATCAAAAAGATAAATTATGGAAAACATTTGAAAATAAATCACAATGTGTGTGAGATGTTAAATAACATGACGACAGCTCTGACTAAATCTTTGCATTTTAATCAACTGTCATAATTTATAAAGGATATATCTATAGCGTATTGTTTCCTGAAAACAAGTCAAAGATGACCCGACGAGGTTAGACGGTTAATTCTGTACGGGCAATGCATACAGTGCAACATCTGTCAGCCAAAAGTTACAAGGTACACGATGTTCCCATATGCAAAGAAACAAATACTGCACGATTCAGACACACACATATGACAGCTAAATGAGTGCCATTTTAATGCACAATTCGTGTTATGCAATAAAAAGCATACACGCATATAAAATGTGCTGGAATCCAAATTTCAAATCATTATTTGCACAGTGAGCAACAATGCACCCATTTGCATTCCTGTTTAAATGCATTTTACTGTAGTAATGCAAAGCCACGGAGATGTAATAAAAGTGGTGTAGCATGAAATACAGTGTCATATGTGTGTCCATCCATTGTGTTTCTTGACCCTTCCTCAACTTCTGCGTAAACAAGTTGGAATTGTAGGGCGTGTGTCTTGGAAAGCGCTGCTTAGCCAATGAGCGTCGACATCCCTACCACGTGGTCAGGTTGTTTACTACAAGAGCAGAAGCCCGCTAGAAGGCGCTTGGGTGAAAACCCGGCACAGGATTACTCTGATACGGCTCACCTCTGTGAAGACGGAAGCAATACGGATTAAAACAAAATCAAACAGAAGATCACCTCATCTTTGTCATGTAAAGCGAACACTGTTGATGAGAATAGACTGCTTTAATAGTGGTGTTCTTACGGCCTTGGTGCTTTATCAAACAGATACTGTTACAGTAACTGTAAAGATCCAGGCCGGGGTTTTGAATACCTAAACACAACCCGTTCTGGTCTCTGAAAAAAGACATTTTCAAGTTACAGCCGGTCAGAGCGAGCCTTGTGGGAAGGGGGTGTGTTGAAATTTGGCAAAGGTACGTGTGTTCATTGAAAGTTTTCTCTGTTTTAATGTGTTTTTTTCTTATTGTTGCGCTGTGTTTCTCAGACAAGACTACGTTGTTAAGGTTAGTACATAGCAGGTAAGGTTAGTATTAAGGTTCGTACATTATTTCAGTTAATTCGCGTGAAAAGCTTTTGGATGATCATGTTTGATACGTATGTCTTGTTTGTGCGACGATGTGCTTCGTTTTAGCAGAAATATTATTTTAGTTGTTCTATACGGATTCAAAATCTACACAACTGTAAACTTTTCCATTTGATATAAAATATAAAAATCCCAGCACAATTGAAAAAAAGTCAGTTGGTTCATTAATTCGGGTTTATAATCTGCAAAAACGAACTTTTTAGCATTTGAAGAGATTAACTGTCCAGCTGCTGCATTCTGATCAGTTTCGCAAAAACTGCGTTTAACGCTTTCAATGAATACTAGATGGATAATCTGCTCCTGCTGCGCGTTCTCGTCGCGTCGCTTCTGCAACGAGGCTGCGAGTGCGAGCATGTGGAGACTCACGCGTTGTCATTCATTTTCTGATTCTGAACAAGCTGTCCGATTCTTGAATGAACGGCTCTTTTGAGTTGGATCTCTTCAATTAATTTTTAACTGGACGTTAATGAATCCGTCTGAATGTCATGTTCGATTCGAGTTGTTTTAATAGTCGAACAGCAGAAATAAATGAAACGTTCATGACTTGATTGCTGAGTGCTGACAGTTAATACGAGAGAGCTGGTTTACTAAAATAATCAAATTTATTAAAACCTGTAAAAACTTGATCAGCCTGAGATTGTTTCAAAGCAAAGTTATAGGTATAAATTTATTTTAAGTTGAGCTGAATCATGGCTGCAACAAAATGAACTCGGATACATTAAATCACAGTAAGCACTTAATAATATAAAACCGTAATAAACGGCCCTATGCGAGTATGTGCCTATGGCTTCTTTGGAATGTTTTGGAAACATGTAATATGCCACGCCGGTGTGTCGGGGAACACGCGATGACGTAATTACGATATGACGTAATCGGACATCCAAATCGTTTTTTGAACCGGTTCTTTGCACGAAAGTGATTGAAGGAACCGGTTAAATCGGATTTTTCATCAATAATTCTGAATATACCGAACATCCATGTACCAAAACAATTACATCATACTATATTCTCCAACTTATATAATCACCTAGTTATAATTAAACTGCTATTTTTAACAGATTTTCGAAAGGAAACTTTAAAAAAAAATGAATTTAGTTTCTCACAAATTTCTAATTTTAGAATAAATAAGTTATTATTAGACGCAAAAATACAAGCAGCAGACATTTTTATCCTTCACATCTGTCGTTGTAGCCTATATTGCACATTATATCTAACCGCTGCATATTGTGCAACACATTGACATGTCAAGTAGACGTCAAAACACTATGTATACTAAGTAATATTGTATGATATTAATGATTTGCACAGTATTTTCTGCTCCGTTGTTATATATTTATATATATATATTTGCATCTAGCTAGACACTTATCCATTGGTTTACAGGAGATTTACATTTTTTGATGAAGCTTATCTTCTCATTCACCTCTATTATTCTGTTTGTATTAGCTTTGTACATATTATAAATAATAAAATAAGAATAATACAAGCCGCTCCCATGCTGCCAAATATGTAGTATTTGGCGACCAAGGGAGTCTTTTGGTTCAATCAGTTGCAGTTACTCTGAATCACCTTTTACTGGAACGGAGGAAACTTAATACCGGACTGCAGCTGGTAATAATGGTTATGTAGTAATTACCAATTCCTCTGTGCCCCAAACTCTTGGGTGAACATTCTGAGGTTACGAAGGCTAGCATGACCATAACCGTTTTAATGTCTTGCGTCAGTTAAAGTAGTTTTTGCATGGTTCATTATGTGCTGACAATGACTCATAGTCATTCTGCACAGTTGCACGTAAACTTTGAATTTTGCATCATTCGTCCTGTGATGTCTTAATTGTTTGACACTTAGTTGCCGGATGTTTCACGTAAGGATGGTGACTCATGCTGATTTCACTGATCAGATTCAACAGGTGACAGCATTGTGGAGATTAATATAAATATTTTGTAAATATATACCAGTAACTTGTCTTTTTGTTTATTTCTTGAATTTGTAAATGGCAAGGTTAATATATCTAGTTATACTATAACTTTACACATTTAGATATGTCATAAATATTTTATTTTGCTTTGTTAAAACTAGTGGTTGACCGTTATGGCTTTTTCCATTTTCAATGATACTGATATCTAGAGAGCAGGGTGTCTAAACTGAGATCATTTTTTTGGCCTATTCCTGATATATACACAGTAAAATGAGGGCAAAACATCAGGCTCTCTTTCTGGCAATAAGATGTGCTGAGTGACCAGAACTACATTAATCATTTGTTTGTTTCCTCTTATCAGCTTCCTGTCCGTCGTCTGAATTGCGCTGCTGAATCTCCATCAGGAGTTCGTCAAAGCAGTTGAGAAGATTCAAGGTTCGAGGAACTGAAAATGGTACCGAAAACCAGGCTTGGGAAGCGTTCCCCACTGGGCACCCTGTTGTGTGGCTCCTCAGCGGATGGCCTGACAGAAACAGGGCCCCATGGATGCCTGGAAAGTGGGCTTCACAGAAGCAAGCTTTACCCTGGACAGAAGGTAAGCATGAATGTCTTTGTTGTTGTAGATTAAATCAAAATATGACTGGTATTCTGAGTGAGATGCACTACACAATGTCAACACTGGAGCACGCAGCCACTTCATGGTGTTTTTCCTGATACGTTTCAGGTGTATGTGCACTGCGGAGGACAAGAATGTGGAGGTGTGGTCGAACAGCATAACCACGTGGACAATGAGGTGTCTATCTTCCTGCCCCAGCTTAACCAGCACGTTCATCGCAAGCTGGAAGATGTATGGACAAACCCCACGTCCAGTCCTAACTCCTCAGTCTCCTCGTCCATTGATGTGCCAAGAAGGTATGGCTTGTTATTGGTCTCAGAATGATGAATGTTGACTTTTTGAATGACGAGCACTCCCTTATAACTCTACTTCAACACTGCAGGAATCCAGTGACAGTGGACATGGATGAGATCATGGCTGCAATGGTGCTTACAAGTCTGTCGTGCAGTCCAGTCATCCAACACGCAACTCCGGGGAGCGTAGCTCCAGGTTAGTTGAACCTTACACATTCATAAATGCTTTACCAAAGCAATGGCACAGTGTACAAATCTGGTATAAACCAGCTGAGATTACTCAGCGCTTGCTGAGATAGGTGTTAGTCACCAAGAAGAAATCCTTAACAACTGCACGTGCAGTTTTCGCTAGTGGAACAAAATGTAGTGGAACAAAATCTTACACTAGTACAGGATTGCATAATCATCATAATTGTTTATGACTTCTGAAGGATTAAATAAGGTCCTACTGCCTAAACTGAGACTTCTGGGAGAAGAAGAAAATAGAGAATTTTAAAATGTTTTTGACAGGTCTCTTATGCTTACCAAGGCTGCATTTATTTGATCAAAATTACAGTAAAAACAGTAATATTGTGAAATATGATTATAATTTAAAATAACTTCTATTTTAACATATTTGAAAATGTAATTTATTCCTGTGATGTGCTGCTCTCATGTTGAAAACAGTTATGCTGCTTAATATTTTTGTGGAAACTGTTATATATTTTTGTTCTGTATTCCTTTATGAATAATAGAAGGTTCAAAATAATTATTTTGCATATTTAATGCATCCTTGCTCATATATAAAATTCTACTGACCCCAAACTTTTGAACGGTAGTAATTTAATATTATATTATGTACTGTATGACATTTTGTATTAATATTAATTATTTTTATAATATTTCTATATTTTTTCAATGTGTTCTTCTAGCATTTAGAACAGGGTTCGTAGAGGTGCTGGAAATTCTTGAATTTTAATATAGTGTTTTATATCGACTCATCCAGGTTATGTAGGATGCCAAGTCTACTTACAGACATTTTGAACAATGAAACTTGTTTTCTTTTAATTTGTCACTCTTCTGTAGAATGCTATAACAAATGCAATCAGGTTTTTTTTTATCGCACAATAACTTCTGATTTAATGTGATGGAAGTACGTACATGTATGTAAACATGTAATTTAGCACAGACTTTGTAAGGTGCTGGAAAAGCTTAGAAATGCTTGAAAAGTGCTTGAATTTGACTTTAGGAAAAGGGATTTAATGATGAAGCATAACTCCGTCACCTATTCTGTTTGTATTAGCTTTGTGTGGAATGGAAAATGGTGGTGGCGAACTGTCTGATGGTGGATATTGGAGCTGCGACCATGGAAACGGAAGCCCCGCCCCATCCCCACCCATCGCAGAGATGGACAAGAGCGCCCCTCTCGTTGATGAAGGCCTGGACATGGAACTGGACCAAATGTTGTTTAATGAGCCAACGCCAAGAAAACGCAAGGTACATTGTAAACCGAATTCATATACTGTATAATATATGAGGTGTTAGTTTTATGGAGTGTGTAGATTAATTGTCTTGTTTGTGTTGTTTTTCACCCTGTAGAACTCAGTAAAAGTAGCATATCGGTGCTTGTGGCCAAAATGTGGAAAAATACTGACCTCAGTAGTAGGCATCAAACGTCACATCCGAAATTCTCATCTTGGGTAAGCATCACAATCGCCAAACGTCTCCCAGAAGTGTCTAGCCAATGAAAGCAGCAATCTGGGACGTTTAGATTGTAAACACACTTTGTGTTATGTTTTCTGCAGACAAAGTGATGAGCACTCGCAAAGAGAAGAAGACTTCTACTACACTGAAGTCTATCAGGACTTGGAGCAGACATCTCCCCCTGCTGGCCCCCGGCCCTCCTGTGCTTCCCCATGCAGTCCCAGCCGGCACAGGCCCCCTTCTCCCTCCAGCCCGGAGATGCTCCATCCCAGCCCGCTCAGCCAGTCGGCCCCGAGCAGCTCCTGGCAGGTCCATACTGAGCACTCTTACCAGGTGAGATGCTTTACATTGTTGTGATGTAATTGAACACAGTGTTTCCCTTGAGGGCTTTTAGTGGCATCAGAGATCTGATTGGTGTCGCTGTTTGCATGTTGTCCTAAATTAAGAAACGTGGACGATTGTTTAATATGTTGATGTTGATTCTTTAGGCTCATCCACCCGTTCCGGTTGTGACTCCGTGTAAACCAGTTTCTGTTCCTGTGTCCTGTCATTGGACTCCACCTCTCACAGTTCACCAGAGCAAACAGGTGAGATTTATTTATTTCTATTAAAGGGTCACTCCACCCATTTCAACATTAATCTTTATTGAAAGTGGGTCATATATGTAGTTGAAATGTAAAAGAATTTTTGAATTTGGTGCCCTCTTGACCGAGAAAAGACCGAAAATAACTTTATGGCACATTTGTATTTAAGACAACAACTCCCGCAATGCACCACATTGCACAGCTCCGCAAGCCACTCCCACTAATCCAGAACAGCGCAAACATCAGAGAAATCACTCTTCCGTCTACAAGGCTAGCTGTCAAAAGAGTTTGAAATTCATTTCACACAAAATGTCTAGTTAGTTGGCTGTGGCGAGCAGGACGAGGGACGTCAGAGGACGGCGCGAGTGATAATGAATGACACCTGTGAGACGCAGCGGTCTCATATCTCTCACAACTATGCTTCTAACTACAGTTTGAGAGCTGTAGTTCCAACCACGTAAGATTGCGATGTTGTTTGCGAATGTTCGTTGGAACTATGGTTTAGAGAAACGCCAAATCGTTGAACTATGTTGGTGACCACGGAAATTGCGACCATAGTTGGCTAATGATGGTTTCGGGAAATGCACTCCTGTTTAGTTCCAAACTCTATGAAGCCCCTCCTTCCGTAAAGCACAATGTGCTCTGATTGGTCGGCTGGACCAGTGTGTTGTGATTGGTCAAGCGCTTCAGCGTGTTTTGGAAATGTCACGCCCCTTGCCATGACTGCGAGTTTCAACACACTACTAACACAACTCAATCAGGTCTTGCCTCTTTTTTTGCGCATGCCTTAAACCGGAGTATTAAGATGCATTTTCTTCGATCAGATCACAAGTATACGAGGGAGACACATTCCCGTTTACACCTGGTGATTTAATCTGTCTCTTTTGTCCACTACCGCTTTCGACTACCTCTGGAAGTGGATGAAAGTGGACAAGCTCAAAACGTTTAAGACCCCGTTTACACCTGTATTTAGCATCGTCCACTTGTGATCCGAACAACCAAAACACATCTTAATACCAGGTTTAAACAGGGCCATTTTGACGTGTTTGATCCCAGTCGAGAACTCAAGACTACAACCGAGGCATTTCAGGGGGTTCAGAAAGCGCTTGCTGAACTCCCTTTGGAGTGACTTTGTGCTTTGTAACATTGCAGACCTTTTTCAGGCTCAAACAGCAAAACTACACACTCTTTAACTGATTCCATTATCATCTACAAGGTCACAAAAAAAAAGATGTCTTTAAAGAGGCTTTTTCACTGTGAATATTTATAGGTAATGGATTGTTTATCCATGAATGTTTTCTCTGAGGCTTTCAGAATATACAAAGCACCACATGGTCTCAAGTACGTTGTGTTTTCGCACTGGAAATGGGAGTGACATGCCCATGTTGTTTGTGTGTCCTTTGTTCCGCCCACAAGAGATGCTGATGGTATTGCAGTGCCATCTAGTGGAGTTCAGGCCAATGTGTTCTCTTTGTCTAAACGCAGGCTTGTCACTAGGTTGAAAAATCATGTAAACATATTGTGATATGCGAATTTTGATCTTTCTGGTTTATAACAGTCAAACTTTTTTATCAACAATATTTCTTTGAAATGAAACATTTCTAATTGCATATTTTTTCACAGTTTTACTGCACTAATGCATTGTTTGTACCGCGAAGTAGTGTTTGCAGCTGTAATATAAAAGTGCGTCATTCTGTGACTAATGGTGGTCTCTCTCTCTCTCTCTCTCTCTCTCTCTCTCTCTCGTCCCCAGGCCTCACCATTCCGCCGTCGTTCAGTTAGTGTTGGTGAACAGTGGCTCCAGAATAACACCGCCACCTTCAGGCCACATCCTGCCAGTGTTTCACCTCCAAGAAACCATTGCACTTCCAGGTGAGATTAGATTGTTCAGTCTCTTTTAGTCCATCTTCATTTATAGTTAGTTTGATCAACAACAAAAAATTGCCATTGAAATCAGACGCTGTTTAGCCCTATTGGCCAATAGGTACAAATTAAAATACTGAAGGAAAAAAAAGGCTTGATTTCATACCTTTTCTCTGTACCTGTACTTTTCTGTTGACGTAACCACGGTTGGGTGTGCAGGGGAAAATAATAGTAACCAATAACTTCTTAGTATTTTAATATAAAATCCTGATATTATTTTTCAGCCAAATATTTAATAAACACACTATTGTTCAAAAGTTTGCTGTCGGTAAGATTTTTTAAAAATGTTTTTGAAATTCTCTTGTGATCAACAAAGCTGCAATTATTTGATCAAAAATACTGTAAAACAGTGATATTCAGAAGTATTATTTTTCTGATTTAATATATTTTGAAATGTAATTTATTCCTGTGATGCAAAGCTGAATGTTCAGCATCATTACTCCAGTCTTCAGTGTCACATGATCCTTCAGAAATCATTCTAATATGCTGATTTGGTGGTAAACATTGCTTTTTATTATGAATGTTGAAAGCAGTTGTGCTGCTTAATTTTTCTTTTCTTTTTTTAAATCGTGATACTCATAATTCTTTGACTAGAAAGTTTGAAAGAACAACATTTATTTGAAATGAAAATCTTTTGTAACAATGTAAAAGTCTTAGCTGTCACTTTTATCAGTTTAATGCATCATTGCTGAAAAAAACCTTGTATTAATTTCATTAAAAAAAAAAATCTTACTGACCCCAATCTTAAACAGTAGTATAATTCACATAGTAAACTGTGTTGTGAATAGCCTTTTCATTAGTTCTGTTGCATTTAGATTAGATGTCAAATTGAACTCTGAATTTATTTTCTACTAACAGGAGGATTCGGGGCGAAGCCAAGAAATGCCGTAAAGTGTACGGCATTGAACACCGAGACCAGTGGTGCACCGCCTGCCGCTGGAAAAAGGCCTGTCAGCGATTCCTCGACTGAATCCTTCTTGAGATTGGAAACGGAACACTAACCTCACAGAGACTCACAAGAGGGGAACTGATCTGGAACTGTGGTTGGAAGAAACCAAAAGAGCACCTTTGTGACTTAACTTTTTCTACTTTTTATCACGAATACGTGTTTTGCGTTTTATTAAATGTGCTAAAGAGCCATGTTGGTGCTGGAAAAATGAAAAAAACAAAAAAGGACAGCCTCTGCCCCACAACTCCTGCAGTCTTCCTGCATCTTATATCATATCAAGAACTGATGAAGTGTTACCTTCCTTTTACATGCAGTAAGCAGCCATATACGTAATGTATATGCATGTTGTTTAATGTGGTTTAAACATTGTTGTCATCAGACACGGATGGAAAGTTAATTTATCATTCCAACTTAATTGCTGAAATGAGACGGGAGAGAGGTCTTTACTGCAGTCCGATGCTTTCAGGGGCAAAATTGGCAGCTTACCGTCAGTTGTAGATTAACAAGAAGGCAGAGTAAATGTTTCAGTATCATATAACGTTTATGTTCATGTATGCCATGTTTACCTGCTGATATGCAGTTTCTTTCTTCGATTTCCAGTGTAAAATTTTGTAATACAAACTTTTGAAAAGGAAATAGGAAGGAAACAGGATTTTGTATTACGATTTTGATATCTGCAATGTGTTAAATCGTGTGTCATGTCATTATCGGTGTATATGTCACAGGTTATATACTTCTGTGAAATGAGACGGTTCACTTTTCTGTCATGTCATTATTAAGGAAGTATTTGTGTAAACATGCATGATCTGATACAATTTATTCAGTTACTTTTGTGCTTCTCGCCCCAGTCCGCTCACTTGCTGTTCGTTTGTTTGGTCTGTGTTCTTGCCAAAGAAAATCTCAGCAAGATAATACATCGTAGACATCTCTGCAAAATAATGTGAAATATATCTGTTGACCATTTATGAGTTTGATTGGTTCATATTCTTAATACTGGGTCCAAATATTTTCTTATTTCGAATAACACTTCAATGTGTCATCCTTTTTGTTTTTATATAGCTCAACTCTATTTTTTGCAAAGCTTGATGCTTTGACATCATTAAAACTGAATGTACCTTATCCTGAAGATCTCCGGAAGTCTTATGCATTTCCAACAGTCAGTGTCATAGCTGTGTAAGAACATCCTAGTCTGAAAGACATTCAATTAACCTCACGGAGAACAATATTTTTGTACATTTTTGTAAAGTACTTCCAAAGTATTTCCTTTTATGAAACGTCTTGAACTGTCTGCGATCTGTATAGTAGGTAAAAGTAAAATTTCTTTTCATGAATCTTATGTTGGTTCATGACTTTTTTAAATAAACTTTTGTGCAAACATGTATGACCCAACAGCAAGTGTTGCATTTTAATATTTGAGAATGAAAAGGTGGGGTGCTTTCAGTTTGCAATAAGGTGAACATGTAGAAAATATTACATTGTCTTAGACTGAAATTAAGATGAATAAAATACTTCAGGACACAATCATTTGCTGCATGACAAGCCACAGAAAATAGTAAACTATTTTATTGACAGTTCAGTTTTACTATGTACAGTTCATGTAGTGAACATCTGATTTTTATCTTCGGAATAAAGGGAAAAGCATGACTCAGCAATGTTTGCATAAAATACATCATTTCATATGCACAAATTCAAATAAACTTCGACAGCTTAAAAAAATAATAAAATGAAAGCTTTTGCTTTTCCCATTCTTTGATGAGGAAGCAAACTGTGCATGACAGAATTTGTTATGTTTGTATTGGCATATTACAGTGATGAGTCTTTGCTGGAATCTGGCTTTATTTTTTTGTTTTGTTGGGGAGACAGTAAACACAGATTAGCTTTCCTTAATCCCCTTAGAGGGATAGTTTACCCAAAAATGACAGTTCTATCATCAATTACTCATGCTCATATCATTCAGAACCCATTTTATTTTCTTTCTTCCTTAAAACACTAAAGGAGATGTTAAACAGATTGCTCAATCTCCTATTTTCCCAATACAATCTCATGGCAATTTGTAACTATTTTATGTTTTGGCAAATTGGTGGCTAGTTCGAATTAATTGGCACATTCACATTTGTACTGTTTAAGCCGAGTGATGCTTATGTTTATGAGTGGGGTTAGGGCTGGATCTTCATGCTTACTTTCCTCCCCTTATTGTCATAGGATTCACATTACGCTCAGATCAGGATGTTTTTTTGGTTGAAAGCAAATTTGTTATTTATACAGCCCATATAAAGTAATAAAGCCTAATATATTTAATGCTAAGAACAGACAATTAATCTGTTATCACTTCCCAAACATAATTGGTTCGTGAGTGAGATTGGTTTCATTTGAGATTTGAAAGCAAAAATTAGGTGATAGTGATAATTAAAAACGTACTTAAAATCTGTTTCTCATAGGTTCATTAGATTTTAATGGTGATTTCGGAGCTCAAAAACAACATAATATTGAGTGTGTCATCGTGACAATTTTTTTTTTCATATTTGGTGAACTATTCCTTTAATCGTTCTATTTTGTGCCTAGTTCACCCGAAATCCCGCCTTAATTTTCATTGACCAATAGGTGGCAGTGTTGTAGAGGAGATGGATTTGAATCTAGTAACGTTTTTAAATGGTCTTTGTACAATGTATAATTAAACTACAGGGGCCTTCATACCAATCATATGCAATCTTTAGATGTCTCGAATTGAATCTGAAGAGTTTTCTTCAAACTTCAAGCTAATATTAATTATTGTTAGCTTTGTTTGACACAGATTAGATGCTTTAATGAGTAAATGTACATCTAACCCTGTGGCACTATGAGAGCTTTTTGTGTTTTAGGAGAACACTGCATGATATCTTTCGAATGAGCATAACAAATGGTTTGCTGGGTAATTTTATTCGCTTCGAAGATCAAAGTTTACTCATTCTGTTGGGTGACATCAGCAGACATACTATTAAACTCGCTAGCTCGAGTACTCATGCCCAAATACTGCTTGAGGAACTCACTAAAACGCTTCTGGTTGTTCCATTTGCGAGCGGATTTGCGGACGCCTATGAAACCCCCATATCTCTTTTGCAAAGACCTGCCAGGATCCATGAACTTCCTGTAGCCATACTTGTTTTTGAGGAAGCCTCCAAAGCGTTTGATTAGGTGGATGGCAGCTTTTTCTTCCTCGTCACCTTCCATCTCGTTGTCTCCATCTCGCTCTTCCTCAGATTGCTGTGCCGACTGTAGTTGCAGGAAGTTGTATTTTTTACTGAGCTGCATATCTCTGTCCTGATCATCCATTTCCAAAGCCCTTGTTATGTGGTCAAACCTCTGGAGGGTTTCAGAAAGCTCCCCATCATCTTGGTCCACAGGCAGAGAGGTGTCCACCTCTTCATCTGCTCTTTTCAGCATGGCACCTCCAACCGATAATGAAGCTTTTTGTTTCTGCTCCACAATGGTCCTGCGACACATCTCCCAGGTGTCGCCTGGAGAAAGTTTACCATGACACTCTACCAGACACACCTGAATGAAGACACACACAAACACACGTTCCAACATCAATATACTTTAATAATACAGACACACTCAGATGTGAAGAATTTCTGTAAAGTTATTTTTTAACACAATTTATCCATTGACTGGTCTTAGCTGATTTAAAGGGACAGTTCACCCAAAAATGAAAATTGTGTCATTACTTACTCACCCTCAAGTTGAGTTTCTTTCTTCTGTTGAACACAAAAGAAGATATTTTGAAGAATGCTGGTAATAAACAGTTGACGTTGACGGTAGCCATTGACTTATAGGCCTATAGTAGGAAAAACAAAACCATGGAAGTCCATGGCTGCATCCGAAAACTGATAAATGCTGCCTTCGGAGGACGCATTTCAAGGTCGGAAGGCATCAAGGCACGTCCGAATGCTATGTTAGTTTCACTTCCTGTCTCCTGAGGTACCTTCATTTGATCGATTTTTGAAGGCAGCATCTATGTATCCTTTGCTGCCTTTGATATCCCACAATCCTGTGCTTTCCATTCTGTGACAGTTGAACTAGAAAAATAAAGATGGCATCTGAAAGTTGCGGCTGGTGGTCAATATGTGTGTAACTGTACATTTTTGATAAACGTTTTCCACTTATGATGTCATTTCTAGTGAGAAATTACTATTGTAGTCAAATAAATATTCACTTAGTTTTCACTAAAGCTCACTCTATTTGCCGTAGATCATTAAACCGTTACATTGCCTCAGAAGTCTGTCTGTCCGAAATCAGTTTCGTGAGGTAGGCTAGGCTACCTTCGTGCACAGACGCTGCCTGCAAAGTCGTTGCCGAAGTTTTCGGACGCAGCCAATGGGTGCCGTCAACTGTCTGGTTACCAAAATTCTTTAAAATATCTTCTTTTGTGCTCAACAGAAGCAAGAAACTCATTCTTGAGGGTGAGTAGCCTAAGTAATGACAAAATTTTCATTTTTGGGTGAACTATCCCTTTAAGGTGATCTCCCAGTCAGCTAAACTGGTGTTCTGAGGAACTAAAGTCACGAGTCACGACCTTTTTTTACAGTCTATGTCTATCTATGGCTATGCTATGGTCACGAGTCACGACCCTCGCATATTAAAGTGGGAGGAGCGCCAAGTCTTTTTCATGTAATCCGGTGCAATCAATTAACCTATTCGAATTAAAAGTCTGGCTTCGAGGGAGTTTGTTAGTGACCAGAAAGAGGGAGAGAAGAATATGGTCGGTCATTCATGCTGAAAATGAATAAAAACACCTCAGGGAGAGCCGTAACGATGGAGAGCTACTCAGGCCAATCAGTTTCCGTAAGCAGCCTTGCCAAATGATGTTATTGTGTTTCTACTTAATTACACAACAAGATAACTGAATCACCCCAGCTGTTTTGAGTCAAAGGTCCATCTTTAACCAAATTAGCACTTCTGCCCCCGCAAATGCGTCTTATTGACATGAATCAGAGAGTGTGTCCTCCTCTCCTCGGAGCTATAATCAGCTGCAGTGCACAACCACATTCCGCTGTTATGATCATTATAATTATGTCAACTAATGACGAGTCTCGGGGAAATTCGATACAGTTGAGGCCACAGATCTTGAACAGTACAGACAAATTAAATAAGATAAACGAAGCTGTAGAAGATCTGGAACTCGGGAGTAACAAAGAAAACAATACTTTTACATATTCAGAAGAAACATGCTTCTTATTTTTGGGTGGTTCCTAAGGTGCTTTAGTACTTATATGTGGTTTCTAGGGTGTTTTGAGTGGTTTCTATGTGGAGTCGTGTCACTGTCAACATAACAGAGTCTTTGATATTCCGGTTACTAGATATGGCTTGGATAAATCGTTTAATGTAAGTTTATGGGATTTTTTTCTTCTGTTGTGTTGTCTGTTTGACAAAAATGCATGATAAATAATTGTGTCTTATTTGGGGATCAACTTTGTACATTTCTCATTTGAAGAAAAAAATGAAATAGAAACAAACGAGACAATTATTGCCAAGCTATAAAAAATTAATGTGTATGGTTGGGTGTATTGATGGTTTTGGAAACATGTAATAGGAAGAATACAATTTGAGCTCATTAAATCTCTGATCACAGATGTTTGTATTGTATGTAAGCACAATAATCTATGACATTGAAACTCTAGACCATGATATATTTGAGATCATTGAGGGGGGTTTTTTTCCTGAAAAAAAAAAATCAGTGCAAAATTCTCCAAATGCTTTCCATTTAATCTCATTGCTGTCTAGGAGAGACATTTTAGAGATCTCATTTGTGATATTCTTTCGTATGGGAAGTGATGGCCACTGTAGGGAATTACCAAATTGTTGAAGGCATATTCATTAAGCAGTTTTTGGCTGCAGAAGAGGCAATCCTTCTGGCAGTCACACCATGCTGGGTTACACAGTCCAAGCAACAGTAGCGTCCACAGTGGAGTCTTCATCACGGAGTGTGAGAACAGCTGAAGTGCAATCTGTAGAGAAAAGAGATGATGGTGCGAGAGAGAAAATAAGTTACAGAAGCAAAACTTGGCACAACAGTATGTGTGTATACATTAGTTTAACGTGTAAAAGACTTTCCTGGAATTCTTCTGATTGTTCAAGCATTATTAGCACTAAATTTTGTGACTCAAATCTAATAAACTCAAAATCAAAAACCAACTGTAATAAAAATAGCCTGAATAACTTCAGAATTATACAACGTTTAAAAGTTTGGGTGGTGTCTGTAAGATTTGTTTTATGTTTTTGAAAGAAGTTCAAGGCTGCATTTATTTGATAAAAATACAGTAAAAACAGTAATATTGTTAAATAGTATTACAATTTAAAATAACTGGTTTCTATTTTAATAAATTTTAAAATAGCATTAATTCCTGTGATCAAAGCTGAATTTTCAGCATCATTTCTCCAGTCTTCATTGTCACATGATCCTTCAGAAATCATTCTAAAATGCTGATTTGGTTCTTAAAGGGTTAGTTCACCCAAAAATGAAAATTCTGTCAGTAATTACTCACCCTCATGCCACTACAGTGGCTCAATCTTAAGTTTATCAAGCGACGAGAATACTTTTTGTGCGCAAAAAACAAACAAAAAGAACGACTTTATTCAACTACTCTGTAAGGCCGTGATATTTCACGTAGTAAATCTACGCAAAGCTTCTAGGTTGTAAGTCACGCATCACACACATGACCAGCGTCGGCCAATACTGAGCCTACGTGTGACGTGCAACCTAATATTCTCGTCGCTTGATAAACTTAAGATTGAGCCACTGTAGTCACTCGGACTAATTTAACGATGTCTTTCATAACTTTTGGGCCGGCCAGTTTCGATCCCTTAAGAAGCCTATGGAGAAGTGATCCAGCTCTCAGATTTCATCAAAAATATCTTAATTTGTGTTCCGAAGATGAACGAAAGTCTTACGGGGTTGGAACAACATGAGGGTGAGTAATTACTGACAGAATTTTCATTTTTGGGTGAACTATCCCTTTAAGAAACATTGCTTATTATCAATGTTGAACAGTTGTGCTGCCTAATATTTTTGTGGAAAACTTTTTTTTCAGGATTCTTTGATGAATAGGAAGTTCAAAAGAACAGCATTTACTTGAAACAAAAATATTTATAACATATACAAGTCTTCACTGCCACTTGAATTTTTATAATTGATTCTGTTATTTTCCTGTTTATTATAATCTGTATAGTTTAAAGCACTATATAAATGAAGGTGACATACTTGATCAATTTAAGTCAGGGTTTATGTTGTTTGGACTTTGTTTGCCGTTTTCCGTCTTAGTTTGTCACCATAGTTACTAATTTGACTTTGTCATTCTGTTCAGCTATTAGTCATTAGTTACCTTGTTTGACCTGTGTAAGTCCATGTGTTTCATTTGAGTTTTGTCTGGTCTTGTTTATGTATACTTGTAGATCTTCTTGTCTGTGTTTCCCTTTTGGATTATCTATTAAAAACTTTACTTTGACATTAATCTTCATCGTCATGTGCAACCACCAAATCTACAACCACCAGTTGTGACAGAAGACTGGACCCAGAAAAGATTTTGTATGGCTTTTAAAAAAATTCTATTTAGTATTTTTGTCTTTCATTTTCCCGCTCACCATGGCTGGAGCAGATAGACCATTCGCAGGTGGATTATACCCAGGACCTTTTAGATCTGTCCTGCCTTACGTACTATGACGCTGACTCGTACGGCATCTTTTTCCATGCCAGCTTGAGTGAGCAGGCGAAGGCATGCCTGCCAGCGAACGATCCCCATGAGGACGTCCCTACCTATGTGGAGTGGGTGCTGGTGCAAAATGGACTGGATTTTGTCGTCAGCCTTAAAGAGGACACCAGCACCACTCCCAACCCAGAGTCCAGCCAGACACCACCATGTGAGATGGACACGGAGCCTGAGCCCACCGCAGACTGTTGTGTTTACTTTGGAGAGGATGATTCCCTGATCCCACCCGAATCAGACTCTTCATATTCAAATCTATGGATCCCGCAGCCTCCCTCTCCCACCTCCTCTCAAAACCTCAGCCAGTCCTTCTACCCAGACTGGTGTCTCCCGTCAACCCCACTGTTCCTCCTCAGCCTCCTCACAGTGAAATGGATCCACCTCGGGTCTTCTGTGAGCCACCTACCCCTGGGCGAGTGGATCCCCTTGCTCCGCCTCCAGCCGCTGATCCCGTCACTCCACCTCAGCCCGTCGCCCTGACTCCTCTACCTTCGCGTCTCGCCCCCTCTGCTCCACCGGGCTCCCTCAGCCTGCTGGCTCCGCCTCGGGTAGACGTCGACATGACTACGCCACGGACCTACGAGACATCAGCTGTGCTCTGTCTCTCCATCCCTACGGCTCCATCTGGCTCCGACCTACCTCCGGGTTTGCCCCAGACCTCAGTTGCTCCAGTTCAACCTCAGCCCTCCGGTACCCCGGTTCCACCTCGGGGGGTCGTCACTACAGCTTCGTCACGGCCTCCGAAGCCTACGGTGTTGCACCGGAACACCGGCTCTTCACCACCATCAGCTCATTGTCAGTCGTCGCCAAGGAAATCCCCACCATGGCTCCTCCCTCCTTCGACGCCGCGGTGGATCTCCATCCTGGCTGGACTCTGGGATTCCACCTGGCTTCCCCTGCTCCGGACTTCTCCCTGGCTCCACCCACTATCTACACCACCTTGGTTTTCTCAGTCTTCACTCCTCCTGGTTTCCCGTCCTCCACCAGAGTCTCCTCCTTCCTCTGTCGGCGCGAGTCCGCTCCTTTTCGGGACAGGGCGTACTGTCAGGGTTCTATGTTGTTTGGACTTTGTTTGCCGTTTTACCGACTTAGTTTGTCACCATAGTTATTAATTTGATTTAGTCATTCTGTTCAGCTGTTCATCATTAGTTACATTGTTTGATCTGTGTATTTAAGTCCTTGTGTTTCATTTGAGTTTTGTCCGGTCTCGATGTATGCTATTCCTGCCTTGATCTGTGTTTGCCTTTTGGATTATCTATTAAAAACTTTACTTTGACATTCATCTTCATCGTCGTGTGCCTATCTACAACCACCAGTTGTGACATTTAATGCATCCTTGCTGAATAAAAGTATTAACTTAAAGTTTCGGACTCAACTTTAGAATGGTATTGGTGAGCATAAACACTTTGAAATATGGCTAGAAGCTCAGGAGTCCCCAGTTAGAAAATGAAAGCATCGTTAGAAGAACTGAAATAAGACTCCCTGAGCTTAGAATGTCACATTAGAGCTAAATATGTTACCTAGTCCATATAAAAAGTAACTTGATTCCAGATTAATCAGTTAATTATAAATTAATGTTGTTATATTGTCACAGTGTTTAGTTGGTTGCTGGGCGACTTTGTTTAATAAGTTTTAATGGACTATTTTCTTTATGGATGCTTTAGAAACATTCATTTAATAAAATAAATTGATCATTAAATATTGAACTGAGTTTAAATTATTTGTTTATTTGGCAAGTAATGAGCAGAATAATGTACAGTCAAAAGGTGATTATTGCAAAGATTATTTAAAAAAAAAAAAAGACTGTCTGAATGTACTTTATCCCTCACATAATCTAAACTTGATTTAGATGTAAAAATGTATCATGTGTGATGTTAACAAACTATATTTAAAGGTACTTTTTGATTGTATTTGAGACAGACTTAGCATTTGCATGTTCATTAGCAAAACTCATCATCTGTAGTAATTGAAGCTAGAATTAGTGCTTGTGGCGTAATGGGAGCAGAATGGAGAAGAGGAGGATTTGAGCTGCTGTGATGCATGCTGGTTAAGCAGTCTTAGTCACCACATTATTCCAAACAATAGAAAGGACTATAAAGCTTCAGCATTTAAGCGCTTTAAGAATAATAAACTTATTCTGTGGCTTCCTGCTCAAGCAAATAAAGTACAGATGAGAATGTACATTTCAGCATTGACAGGTGGCCTGACATGCTACCCGCCAAACCATCAGTTGTTTAGTTGCTTCAAAAGCAACTTCAAGATAAATCAATTTCACCTGCATTACACTTGTACTGAAGGTGTCACCAGGAACAAAAGCAAAGGTGTAAGTCACTGAGAATCGATTGTCACCCCTTGAGTGAGTTTTATTGAATTTGGTCACTGTACAAGCAACAGACAGAGTGTGAGTGAATTACACAACTTTATGTAGGGGAGAATGAACTAGATATTGATTTTCACCACCCCCTTTAGCTAATTTAGTTTTTTTTTCTCTTCTCGGGAACTACAAGATGACGCACCTAAATGGATTCTGGCCAGGGTGCAGCATTGTTTAGAGGTGATATTTCAAGTGAAGATTGTTTGTTGCAACTACAGTAATTCTCTTCAGCAGTTATTTATTCTTGTTGAAGTTTCTCATTTGAATTTAGATTACCAGGACACGTTTTTCTGTGCACCTCAAGTGCCCCAGAAGTTCTTAATCTCACTGCAGTTTTAACAGACCTATACATACATGTGGGATGCAGAGCTTGGCAGGCCTTCAAAATGTAATTAACCAACTCAATTATGTAATAAAAAAGACTTAACCAAGATAGACACAGTGATTTAACTCCTGACCTTTGGAATTATCTCATATACCCAAAGGAAAGAACAATCTCTCATTGACTAAGTGGGAGGAAATTGGTGCAGTTTGAGAAACTATGCTTTTTATATCATAAGAAAGCTTTTCTGTTTTGAACAGAAAATAGTGCTCTATTTACAGAATGTCAGCGTTTCATATCTTTTCGGAGTGCCACATACCAAAGTAAGAGTAATTTAAAATTGTTTAATGCTGCACAGAGGAGGCATACATGAAATTACAATTGCACTCTAAAAAAATCCTGGGTTTAGCCTGTGTTTGGGGGTTATTTTTTCAGCGTCTTGGTTACCTCGCTTCTGGGTCAAACGTAACAACCCAGCGGTTGAGTTGTTTATCGCGGGCTTTTTGCATCTTCTTCAGGAGATGAGAGAGTAGTTCT